GAGAAGCCTTTGAAAAGCAAACCTGCGCTACGGGTGCTACGGGATTTATAATTTCAAATTCGGCCAGCAGCTCTTGGAACTGGTTGAGGAAGGCAATGTGTTCCCCTGCTGCTGGAGGTCCTGTGTTTGGTCTTTGAATTCAGCACGCCTCTGAGGTCAGGCGGGCGCGCTTTTGACACCTTGCAGGTCGCCGATGTGCATTGCCTTGCACTTGTCATACTGTTCTGCAAGTAAATGCAGGAACGCTTTTTCTTGTGCTGATCCAAAGGCAATATAGCGCCAAACAGGAGACACCCCTGTCGGACAGGGTCCTTAGTTGTCACATAGCTTCGGCCTAACAATGCACACGCTTGGTTGTGGGAGTACATACTCCCTGGGTTGCAACACTTCTGGCACTTTGAGCAATGCAAAATGATGGCCGCGATGTTCTCCACCAAATCAAAGGTGAAAAAATGCTCTTTTGCGCTTTTGTTGGCCAACTCAAGGGCCAACGTTGTTCTGATTGCCTCCAAGTCATGCTCAGCTTCATTGCTTGGGGCGGCTTGTTGGCTACTGGTGGCTCTCGTCTTTTCGGCCAAGCCTTTGCCAACCCGCTGCATCTCAGCCGACACGACCCGAGCCTCCAAAGATTTCAAGTCGAAGCCTGAGCAAGAACCCCTCTTCTTGTTTCTTTTTGCAAGGGCATCAGCTTGTTTCACCTCCTCTGCAAGTTGTTTGGTCAACAGCCAGATTTCCCCACTCCCCATCCACTGCCAAGCTCGTTGAACATCCGTGCATCCATCGGCCTCCCAAATTCACCGCTGAAAGTTCACTTCTTTCATCCCCCTTCGTACTGACCGCTAACGTAGATCCCCAGGATTTTACGTATTAAAATCCTACTGATCCAAGGTGACTTTGTATTTTTTCATTGGTGCCCTAGGTCTTTTTCCCAAAAAGTGCTTTTTGTAAAATCCTTTGGACCGACGTGTGTTCAGGGGGTAGGGAACCAAGGAAAAAACAAGGAGTCCAAGCTGATCAAACGTTTAGTAAAATCCTGGGTATCTACCTAATACTCAAGCAGTGAGCGCATTTTTTGGCATTTTGGCATTTTTTGTGATTTTTTCGATATCGTCGGATATCGTCCCATATCGTCGCATTCATTTTCTCGAAAATCAAAGAAAATCATCCCCGAAGACTAAATTTAGTCTATTTTGGCACTTTTTCGTTATTTTTCGATATCGTCGGATATCGTTGTTTGACTCTGGTGTTTGCAAAGACATGGCCCGAATTCTCTGTCAGCTACCACTCCAAAAAATGCGACTGTACCATTGTTTACATTTAAACACAAATGGTTACAGGGCCCCATACGCAAGCCATCATTTGATTAAATTGATTGCAATCTTATGTTGTATATACAGCATGTGTATCTATCAGCCGAGCAGATAAATGCTGCAAAAAGCAAATGCACAAGCACAGCCACAGCAAAAAGCGTCCTCTCCAGTATCTCTAGAATATCTAAAGTCTTAGCACAACCCCAGCATCTCTACCTTGTGAAATCCTACAATTTTAGTGAAATCCTGTAGTCCTACGTGTTTTTGGAATCCTTGCGCCCTACCCTAAGCAAAAGGATTTCAAAACAGCCCCATTTCTTGTTGTTTTTTCCTGGGTCCTACTTGACTTCCTTATCAGCGAACTTTTTCGCTAGTTTTTTTATTTCTGAAATAGTCACGTCTACGTCTAGGATTTCAGTATGGCACAACCAAGGGGGATCTTCTTTCTCCGCTGAAAAGTTCTGGACTCAAGATTCAAGATTTCAGGCAACCTTGAATCTTGAATCCTGGGGCTTGGATTCAAGAACTCTTTCCTGCAATCTTGAATCTTGAATCCCGTTACAATGCGCTGCAATCGGATTCCGTCACCAAAGTGCTCTAAGTATTTCTATGTCAGTGCGGCACAAGGTTCAGGTGTGTTTACATCACCTGTATGTATATAAGGTTATATATATATATACCTTTTCGATAAAATAACTACACCAGCATAGACCCAGATAGCTAGGCAGAATCCCACGACCTGTTGACACGCGACTGGCTGGAACAAGAATGTACGCAGCCTGCGCAGCCAGCTTACGACACCTCGCACAATCAGCTGACACCAGCGCCCGACCAGCGCCGCCGCCCGTCTTAAACGCGCGCTCAGCCAGCTCACAGCACCAGCACCCAGGACCACAACACCAGCACCAGCACCGACACCCTTTTGAAAGCGCGCGCAGCCAGCTCATTCTCATTTGCAGCAAGAACCCCATAGCTATCCCTACTTGGGGAACACAACGTATGATCTTGCGCGTAAAAGTCTGTGCGCACAAAAGTACGCGCGCAAACAGCAAAGCCCGTAAGTGTCATTGGCCCAAGGTCAGGCAGTATCCAGCGCCACGATTGACTTTGTAGCATGCTTGAAGCAACGACCTGCAGAACGATAAGGCCGTATGATCTTGCAAAAGTATGCGCACAATCGGCAAAGCCCGTAGGCTTCACTCGCCCAAGGCCAAGCAGTATCCAGCACGACTATTGTGTGTGTAGCATGATGAAACATGCTGGTACAATGGTCGGTTGAGAGCCTGACGCACAGAACATTATACGTACAAAAGTATGCGCGCAAACAGTACAGCCCTTGACACAGCTGTCGGCCAAAACAGAACCTGAAGGGTGTAAATACCCCACAGCGCTAATAAACAAAGAACGCTCAAGCGACAACACCGTATGATGTTTCGTGCATAAGTTCATGCGGCCCATGACTGCTTGCACTTCATTGTCAGAAGCGGCGCTTGGTCGCCCTTCACTGCTGCAAGCGGCGGTTTGTTACCCTTCACTGTCAGAAGCGGCGGTTGTTATCACTTCACTGTCAGAAGCGGGCACCAGCACCGAGCACCGGCGCGCCAGCTTACGGCGCCCAGCACCAGCACCCAGCACCGGTATAGCACCAAGCACAGCACCGGCGCCCAGTCACCACCACACACACTGCCAGCTCACAGCACCGGCACCGGCGCCCGCTGTCTCTACCATGCGCACTGCCAGCACCCAGCACCGGCACCGTGTCTCCACCACGCGCGCAGCCAGCTCACAGCACCCAGCACCAGCACCACAGCCCGCACCAGCACCCGGCACCGGCACCCAGCACCGGCACCCTGTTTCCACCGCCCACCAGCACCGGCAACCTGTCTCGAAAGCGCGCGCAGGCAGCTTCGCTATCTGGGCCAAAAAGATCGCCACATTTATGCAAGCTACACCACCAGCACCGGCACGGGCATCCAGCACCAGCACCGGCACCCAGCACCGCCACCAGCACCAGCAACCTGTCTCCACCACGTGCACAGCCAACTCACAGCACCAGCACCAGCACCGGCACCCGGCACCACCACCAGCAACCTGTCTCCACCACGTGCACAGCCAGCTCACAGCTCCAGCACCGGCACCCAGCACCAGCAACCTGTCTCGAAAGCGCGCACGGGCAACTCACTATTATTTGAAGTAAGAACCCCATAGCTTCGCTATCTGGGGAAAAATCAAAAAAGAAAATGTAAAAAAGTTGTACAAGGTTATTTGGCCTCTTGGGGCCTTAGGGCCATTTACGCATGAATTTGTGATTCACTGCACAGCGGCAGACTGCGTCTACTTCTATCCGTGGGCCAACGGAGAGTCACCAACAATTAGTTCATTACGCAAAGATAACTACCAGGACCCCCAAGGGGTGGTTAATGGACACTCCTTAACAGCTAAGGGGCTATAAATAGACACCCCTTGGAGGGTCCTCGTATATGAGAACTGGTAGGACTTCCAGTTGCGGATGAGGGGTCATCCCGCGCCCTGGAGGAGGGCCTTCCTCTGCATCGGTCACAAACGTCGGCCGTGTTGAAACATGTTCTGTGTATGTTTTTGGCATGCCTGCAACTTGCTGAGGCTTGCTTCTCAAGTGGAACAAGAGATGCACGTGCTGGCCGCTGCTTGATGCAACTTCTTCATATCTCATTGCAATAGAGTCTATAGAGAAGGGCCTTTTAACATGCACCGGCTGCCGGTGACTGTCCGATTTGTTGGGGGGCAGCGCCAACACCTCCCAATGGAGTCTAGCAGGGTGACCTTGGCGCCAAGGCTCGATCCCGTTCGGGGACCGGCGGCAGGTCCGGCAAGTCCGTGCGCCCGCGCCGGAAGCCGCGCCAGAAGACGAGAAAGGCCCAGCAGAAGAGGAGCCTGGAAGAAGCTGAAGATGGTTGTTTCGTTGGTTTTGTTGGGCACCAGGCTGATGAGCTGATTTGTTGGGGGAGATTTGGGCGATTGGCCGTATGTGAGACTAGAGGTTGGCTTTTGTGGGGAGGTTGAATGTTTGAAACCATTTCCGGACAGTAGCACAGAGCGTGGCGAGCCGTTGCATTGCATGTAGATGTAGATGATGTACGACCGCGATTGCATAGCCGCGGATCTATATAATTCAGTCAAAGGGCAACGTCTGAATTCCCTTCTAAGACCCTCCAGAATGACCTAAATTGGACCAAATGTCCCAATTCCCTCACTTGCCAGGTGAGTTGACAGTTCATTGGACCCTAATAAAATCGGTGAAACCATGGGTGAAAACGGACTCCTGATGATACAACCACCAACCAAAAACCGTTCGAAATCGACACACCTCTCCGGATCCCTACCCTCCGGATCCCGGATCCGTTGGTTTTCGCCTGCTCAGACAGCAGGATCGATCTTCTGGAGACTCCACATCCTGCAGGTTCGCTCGAGCACTCAACATGTTTCTGGGGGAGCCTGATCCCCATTGATGACTTGGATTTTAAATTTGTAGTCCTCCGAAGAAAGCCCCAAACAGTGTTGCTTGGCGAAAGGTTCAAGGCACTCACTGACGCTGCGAAATCTGGTTGTTTCCCTCCACCCGGTGGCCAGGCCACCCGGTGCTATTTTTAAAGGGACCTCCCCACCCCCCCGTGTGGTAGGGAAAATAGACCTGCAGTCTACCCATTGGCATCAGGGGGGGGGGCCCTAATTCTCCCTCTTCAAAAAACACATCCATCCGGCGGCTCATTCCTTCCACCCATCCACCCAATCCCAGCGCAGCCTCCCGCTGCAGCAGGGGCTGCTCCCGCGCGAACTCCACCCCATCGGCCGCCGCCATGGCACCACAGTCGGACCGGACGTGACCGGCGCGAGAGAGAGACCGGTGCTGTCTGAAGGCGTGGGAAGGCGGAAGGCGTGGCTCAACGGCGGAGTGGCGGAGACGGGGTGTGCCGTGGCTCCACAGCGCCAAAAGCGGAAGTGGAGAAAAGGTGAATGTGCGTTTCAGGGAGATTCACCTGAGATCACCTGAGATTCAGCTGCCCAAACGGAGACCTCCGCGTTTGGGCGGGAGGGCTTGGAAGTTGGAAGTTGAACAAAAAAATACGCAACTGGTCTGGCTTCTTGGCCACTCGATGTTTAAGCAATTGCTGGATGATTAGCTAATTGGGTCGATCTCAAATGTGGTTCATCATGGTTCCATGTCAGGTGTTTTTGCGGGCAAGATCTGGAATGGAGAGAGAGGGTTGTTGTCTTAAGCAAGCTGCCTGCAGCTGCCACCTGTTCATTTTGCTCAGCGGAGCATGACCTTGTGATTCCGTCATGACGACGCCCTCGCGATCGTCCAGCTGAGCCAAAGAGATCGTGCGCCCGCGCGGTTTCGCGCAACCCCTTTGGACGGTGTACAGGATGCACCAACAAGAAAACAAAGAGGAATCGCCCGCCAGTGTAGACCCCAAACAGGAAAAGACCACCGCGGAAAGCCACAGGCGGCATTGAAGCAGCTTGAGCCCTCGATGGCGAAGATGGTGATAGTGATGGCGAAGACTTGCTACATACCAAGGGCATCCAGGGGCCAGGGCCTGCCAGGGCCTTGGTTTCATGGCTCATATCTGCTCAGGATAGGTCAGCCGCATGACACCCTATCTCATTCTCAAGTGATTGAGCTCCACTGAAGTGGAGTCACCCCCCCCGCCACATGGAGAGAACCTGTGACTCTCATTTTGTCTCGGGCCACCCCAAAAAGTCAGGATTCTGTACCACACTCACTCGCGAACAGTCTGACGGTTCGCCCCTCAAAGCCCTTCCACTAAGTGGGGTGCCCGAAGGTAAACAAGTTTACATATCGAAAATGTCAATGTGAGAAAGCCATGACCTATGTACAGAATGGACACAGGAAACTCGTCACTCACCATGAATTATGAATTATGAATTGGGCTCGCCGCTCAGTAATCAAACGAGACATGGTCAAGGGATTGTCCGTTGCGAAGGCATTTCTTGATACGCTGGTATAATCCTCCTCGATTTGCAAATGGAATATCATCATAAGGCGATTGAATCACAGATTCTGTTGGTACCAGCGGCATTGGAATGCGAACATGGTGCGGATAACTTTGGGTCGGCATGGACGAGTATTCTCTCAAAATCGCCAGGAATCTAGTTGCGTTTGGTATGACAGGCCGCGAGGCCACTCCCCCCACCAAGCTCTTATGGAAACCCAGACGTACCAGTGAAGAAGCTCCAGTTTTCTTATATTTGGGAATCAAGGGCGTAGGCAATGTATTGTCTAGATATCTTACAATTGCTCGTAGCGTATTTGCTTGATTCCAAAGGCTTTTGGCATCGTCTTTCTGAATGGCAACCTCTGGTGAATCAAATGCATATGGTGTCGGCAGACGATCCGTTTTATTGTAGATCCACACCGGAAGCGCCATCCCGGTATACAGCATAAAACTTATAGCCAGCTCATACCATGTAATGCCCCAGTCATCTTTAAGTGGCGGAAGATCGGGCGGATGCCATCTTTAAGTGATCAGGATTCTGTACCAACAAAGGTTAATGAGGTGGTCCTTCTCACCCCAAAATGAACAGAACATGCTCATCTCCTCAGCTACTTGCCCGCCCCTCCCTCGGTCCCAGAGTTGGCGTCGGGAGAAGGGGTCCACACCACTGGAAGGCTCCTTAGGGCACACAGAGAGTCTGTCTCGGTCAGTCTAGCGGCCGGAGGAGGGTCTGAGATGAGTTTGGTCAGTCCAGCACCAACCAACACGCATGTAAACAGCTGGAGAAGTACCAACGATGTTGAAACTTCGAAAACACGTCTTGTCCAACTCGTCACGGTGCCACTAGTGACCCATGAATGTAGCGCATCATCTGCGAGGGACTTTCTCATTAAAGCAGCACAGGGAAGGCTCAAACCGTCACAGAAATCTTGCGTTCACTTGAAACTGGTTGTTGTCTGCTTATCTGACTTGTCATGCTCTATACGTACTACTGTGTCGCACAACATGCGGAGAACACATAGCAAACCACACCGACCAGTTCTTGCCACCCCCCGCCACCGCAGTCCCAGGCTCATCCAAGAAGACCTCAGGAAGATGGCTGGCCGCTCTGGCCATGGTGACCACTGGGAAGACGGGAAGTTTCCTCCCACCAAGTCATCTGACCAACAAAAAACGAAAAACCTCTTCATCCACTCATCCAACCCACCCTCACCCGGCACATCACTCGCCACACATGGCTGTGTCTTGGCGCTCAGGTGACCGGCCAGTTGACCATCTTAGACATACCTGGTGGGCGGGTCACAAGCTCCAGAACAGGACCCATCCCCATCATCACTGGACCATCCTCCAACATCACATCCAACATCATCCAACAGATCCATCCACCGACCCCCCGCAAGGGGCGGCGCGCGATCCGTCCACTGCGGCCACGTGGCGACCTGCGATCCGCCGATCAGCGCGACGGCGGCGGAGAGCCGCCGCTTCTGCCCGCCGCTCAAGGTGCCCGCCAGCGCGTCCCTTGGGGAGCGGAGGGAGCATGTAAGGGGGAGACACATCAAACTGGATGGAATGTTGGATTAGAATCCGAGGATGTCATGGGATCGTTTTGGGATGAAACAAAAACTTCAAAGGACTTCCCTGCCACTAGATGGCACGTCTAACAGCCCATCGCCATTGTTCCACTCTTTGTCTTTGCTCCACTCCTGCGGCACTGGGACCAGATGATGTGCCTCATCCAAGTTTGCCAGTTGTTGCTTTCGCCCCGGTTAGCCACAGCATGCCACAGCCGTGGGGCTGGAACCCTGATAGACCACCGAAAACGAGCAGAATAGTCTACAGGAGGCCAACCTGCCAGGGATTAGAGCCGATTCGGGCAACGCTCTTGCGGACAGAGTTCAGCTCCAGGTTTTGACCTGGAATGAATCATTGGACGATCCCCCCACACACGCACCTCTGATCTCCAAGTAGCTCCTTCTCTTGCAAGCTCACATCCGCGATCAAGGCGTTCACCTGTTTTTGCCAGGCTTTGGAGGTCGCTCGTCACATCCCATTCCGGCGCGCCAACGAAGACCATGGAGAAGCGCGCACGTGTATTCTCCCAGGGAAAACATCAAAGTCAAACAGGTCAAACGACGCGAACTTCTCAAAATCGTCGTTTGACCTCTTGGGAGTTCGCGTCGTTTGAGGAGATTGACTTTGAGTCGCTTTCCTCCTCAAACTTCTCTGGGTGGTTCTGTTTAAGAACCCACTTGTCACTGCTCGTGGGTGGGCAATGCGCCGCCGCTTTTTTTTCATCGCACAGGGTGGGGTTTAGGTGGGACAAAACACTCGCAGGAGCACCTCTACTGATCAAAAGGGGGCTCCAAGTTATCACAAACGACCGATGGGTCACAGACATCTCCTTGCTGTAAGAGACTATAAACTGCTATGAAGTTCCTCAACTGCCTCAATCACAGTTTTGACATGAACGGCCTCAATCACCAAGGCCGTTGGTTCGTTGAGTGAAGACCTTCTATTTACGGAAAGAACTTGGGAACCAAACCATTTGCTTTGGAAAAAATGCACCAGATCCATTCGGCGTTTCCAAGGCTCGACCCGGCAAGTAGCCGCAAGCAGGAGCGAAGATGGGGCGTTCCGTTCAACATGTTCCATTTCAGCGGTGTCTATAAGCATCCAGAAATCTTCTTAAGGTTCATAATATTGCAAGCCCTATATTCATAGCTATATAAATCCTTTCATAGAGGCTTATGATGTTGCTCATGTCCATTTCAGTGCAATGCCTAGTCGTCTTGCCTACCTTCTGAGTTCACTCAAAAGTCTGGGCCCTGTCACATATGAACAAAGACCGAAAGAAATGATGGTGCTTTGTGTCCACAAGGAACAGGTCCTTATATAATTCGTCCACTTTCTGACAAATCACAAGCTGATCACACAGGGGCCCTTAGCAAATCACACGCACAGCCCTAGTAAACATCATGAAACATCTACCACAGTTCTCAGGAAGGGGCCGCCCTGCCCCCCCTTCGGGCCGCCGTGTTGAACAGGTGGGTGGGCCGTTCCACGTGACTCTTCCGTGGGTCACCCAGAGTCGCCGTCCACCCCGCCACCCGTCATCCCCGCCTCAGCACCCACGGAGTTGGAAGGGATCCCCTTCCTGAGAGGATGAAACGAGTCGCACCGCGTGTTCCGCGTGTTCTGTGTGTATTTTCCGGCGGGTGTTCGCCACCCGAGGACACGCAGCCAAAAATGGGGTGAAATGGCACGTGTTCAGTGGACACATCCGCTGAGATGATAGGTCTCCAGCCATAAAAACCTGAGCTCATGATGTCCAACACCTGAAACCATGTAGGTCCAGCACCCAAAAACGGAAAACGGCCCAGCTGAAGGAAGAATGATGACTTGCCATTGCCTCCAGCCCTTCTCCACGATCATTGTCTGCAACAGGGATTCCAATGTTTCGAATCGTTTCGATGTCTTTGTTGGATGACTATGACAAACCCTCCTACCTAGCTACACCAGGCGAAAAGTTGGCAAAAAGATGGACAAAGGGGTGCTCCATGGTGCTCCTGTATCTTCCTGACTTCGAGCGAAACTCGAAATTGACTTCGAAAGAACATGCAAACCATGGGCTTCAACCTTCCGCCCAAGTACTCAAGGGGGGGGGATATGGCTTGACCTCTGCGGCTGACTTGTCAGCCGCCTCGGACCCGTGCGTCACATGTTTGCCCTCCTTTCGGAAGCGGCGGGACGACAAATGCATGGAATCCCACTAAGGGGATGGACCTGGTCTAGACCAGTCGACCGTGGCCAGGTTCCCACTGGTGCTTTCCTGAGGTGAGAAGGAGCCAGAATCTTGACCTCACAAATACTTTGGCCATCCAATCCAAGGCCTTGGGAAATCTCGCCAGTTCAAACTACTGAGCTATGATCAGTTCACCTGGAGTAGAAAATCCCTTACATCCTGGAGCATGGGATGGTTCAGGGTTCTAATCATCCACAGCTGGGGATTTCACCATGATCGCTTCCAAAAGGCTTTTTCTCACTGAACTCATCTGCGCTCCGGCCTCTTCCGATCTCCTCCGAGCGTCGCTTGCGCGAAGAACTCCAGGTGCTCCCGCACCGTGAGGCTGGGCCAAATCACGTCGTGTTGCGGGCCTTGGAGGCTCCCATAAAGCAACCCTAGGTCGTCGGACGTGGGTTCGTTTGGGGGTCGGAGCTTGGACTCCTTCAAGGCATGGATCCCGCATCCGGTTCAAGGAACCCTCCATCCGGGCGTGGGTTGAGAGATTGAAGGACTGGTGGAGCCAAAACACCTCAAATTCTGCAGGTACCAAACCCCCCCAAACGCTGGAACTTCGGGGATTGACCACCTTGCTCGGCAAACGAGGTTTTGTAGGAAATGTCCATCATTCTTGCCAGACACAAACAAGGGATGTCTCTTTTGTCTTCCAAAAAAGAGTGTTCACTTCGATCCTTCCTCGACTTCATCGTTTCTGAAAAAAACCACATCCTGGGCCGAGGTCGCTGCACACTCCCAGCATCTTCCGGATCTGCTGCATGTCCCGCCGCACCGACTTCCCGTAGACGATCGCATCACCTGGCGGTGTGCGACGCGGATCGCGCGCCGGGCGAGGAAAAATCCACCGCTGGTGAGATTGGTCCAAAAAAAGGAAAACCCACAGGAATGCCTTTTTACTAGGAAGGCGTAACAGGGACGAACGTTCGGATGGCTCAAGGGCTCTCCCGCGCGCGCGCGGGTATTCGGTGTGTCGGATGGGCTCTCGTAAACCACGCCATGTGCAACGCTTGCCGGTTCCCAAGCATCGGAAGCCACGGATGTGGCGGACCAAGCGGGTCTTCCCGGTGTGTCATGCGAAGGGACAGGGCGCAGGAACCTCAACCAGTCACTGGGCGTTGCTTCAAAAAGACCTGCCACAGAACAGTGTGGGCAGTCTCGAGGTCTCCATTTAGGGCAACTGAAACAGCCACTTAGTTGGGCCATGTTAGTTTAAAAGCAGCTGGTAGATTCCGCATGGAGTTGTAGATTTGCCTCTGGCCCGGATGTTGTCTTTGCTCTTCTCACTAGTGGCACCCAATACCCAAGAAAACACTGGTGTTCGATTCATGAAAGAAACAATTTCTTCATGCCTTGGATGTGCCACTCAATTGGCAGCACAAGTTCTTTTTCAGCAACCATGCGAGAACGCAGACGCGCCTGAGCTCACAGGGAGCATGCCGCTGAGCATGTTGATGGTGGTGGTCTTTCCTGGCCGCCAGGTGGTTCTGTTGGACGTTCAGAACAAGGAGGTGGTGGTCTCCTATTGGTTGGTTGGTGACACCCAAACCTTTTATCAAACTGTGGAAGATCCACATCTCGTCTGGGATCTCGTGTAGCCACATCGCCTGCACCGTTGTGGCCCAGCAAGCAGAAGATCTGCCCGCTGTAGAGGTTCAAGTTCACCTCTTGCACCTTGGAAGATTCACCGGTGGCGACAACCGAGACGGCCGATTGACGGCAATTCTGGCATCTGACAGGAGAGAAAGCGGACCACCCCGTCTCAGGTTCCGTCTCATCATGTTTCAGACCAGGGAAATCGGTGAAAAAAAGTAGAACTGATTTTCAGTTGTTGCTGAGGAAATCAAGTATAACACTGATTATAATCATTTATAATCACTGAGGAAATCAATATATAAATCTCCTGAATTGATTTTTGTGAACTCCAGGACTCCAGTGTTGACAGCTCCCATTGAATTGCTCGATGTTTGGACTACCCACCGCCCCACCGCTTCGGAGTCATCTACTGTAGCAACCTCCACAGTGTAGAAGAAAAAAAAAGCTATATATATGGTCACTATAGGTCACGTGTTCGTGTTCCCCATAGAGTCATCAGTTGTTCCTATGTTTGCCCCATTCCTTTCCTCCTTTTCTTTCACTTCGATCTCATCCCGCCCACGGCACCGCTTTCAGCACCTTCCGGTCTGCCGTGTGGAAGTCCTGCCACGAGGACGGTCTTCGCCCTCGGTGTGAGACGGTCTTCAACGGGTCGAACATAGGAGTTTAAAGTAGCCGAACAGGTATGGCGGAGTTCTTTAGGGAAGGGCCAAGAGCAGGGGGCCCCAAGTCAGTGAGGGTGCTCAGGGAGTCAGTTTCTCTTCAGAAAAAAAGACCGAAAAACACACCGCGCCCTTCGAAGGGGTTCGTAGACTGATCTCCTTTTCCGCCACCTTCGGTGCGTTGGCTCCGTCCCGGGCGTCCTTGGAGAGGTCGCGCACCAGGACGCTCCGTTGAGCTGCCATGGACTCCGGCACCGCTTCGTACCTGGAGAGACCGAGCGGTGCACGGTACCGCCGTGCGGGCACCGCGGAGGTCGAAGGCAGTAAGGCGGGAGCAGTGGAGTTGGGATGACAATGAGTGGTGAAGGGGGGGGTGTAGGGATTCACGTGTCCTTTTTCTCAGGGATTCCTGAAAGGTCAAGGGATGTCAGTGGATGTGGATGTAGGGGGGGATCAATCCTCTCCTTTGTCTAAGGGAATTGGTCAACTTCTGAAGAGCCAAGTTGCCTATGTCGGCTGAGGGTGAGTCCACCGTGTTTCGGTGGAACAACACGGGGACCCGAAGTCGCTTGAGGTGAAAGCAGAAAGCCGGGCGCTTGCGATCAACGGAAACATATCCCACAAAGAATGAGGCTGTTCTCCAAACAAGGTATAACATGAAATGAGATCCAATTACTCCCAAGCACTTCTTAGTGGACCTGTACCCAAACAAATGACTCCCTCCCCGATCAGAGCTTTTCTATTCACTGAACCACGCACCGCAGAAAAAGATACATCAGTCGTCCGAACCACAAAACGTCCCACACCGGGAACTACACAGCACCCATGCACCGCCCACCGATGCTCCTGGCGTTGGGAGGCTGAAGGTCATTGAAGCCTTCCTCCAAGTCATGGAGCTCCTCCTGGACGCCGAGCGAGAGACCCCGCCGAGGAGAAGCGCCATCTCGCTTTCAAATGCCAAGACTCTGAAGCCCTGGAGACCCAAAGCATGAACTGGTTCTTTTACTTTTTCTTTGCCTTGTCAGCTTTGCTCCATTAGCCTCCTCCGGGCCGCCGAGCTGACGAGGCGCGGACCCGGCCTCCGTCAAGCTGCTGTTCTCAGGGTTCCAGAAGCGCTTGGAGCAGCAAAACCACCAGGGCTGTCGCGTGCCGAATCCCACGACCAGCACCTCGCGCTGGTAAGGCTGCCAGCTACTCTGCCAGCTTTATGTTGCTAGCATGCTGGCATCTGTGGAAATCCAGACCAAGCAGAGGATGAAAAGAAAGCAATCCAACAAACAGAAGGAGTATGACAATAAACAAGTGATTTATATAAGTGCTCCTGTTCTGTACCTGAAGATGCCTAGATACTTTACAGCCAGGGACATCTGGAGGTGCAAGACCCTGATACACCTGAAGTGGATCTCATAGGCCCCAGGAAGACCTAATTGTCCCGCATAGCAAACAGGCGGTATTTCCATGTTGATTGAATTAGTAACAAGAAGCTACTAGAAACAAGTGCCACGCTAGTAGTAACAAGTGCCTTACTAGTAGTAACAAAAAGCTATGAGAATCCATTTCCATTTTGAATTGATTCAGAGTGTTTCTTGGATCGAAGTGCGGGTCCAGAGGGATCGAAGTGCTCAGAGGGATCGAAGTGCCATCGAAGTGCGGAGGTTTTGGAGGTCTACCACCGAATGCTCCACCGAGTGCGGACATGTCTAGGGATTCGACAAAATCCTCCTTACTTTATGAAAAACTATAGTTGGTATAGAATGAACATACCTTAGGTATATCCCATTACCAGTAACAGTGGATGATGATGGTTAGCAAGGGCCTTTCTCAAGAATATATAGTGATAATCTTTTACCAACTGTTACTGGTAATGGGCTACACCCTAAACATACCAAGCAACTGTCTTTTATGAAGTGACGGACCGACCTCTTTATGAAATGGGCTACACCTGCATCGTGGAAAAGCCAGGCCCAAGGTAGGCAGCAAAGGCCAAACACGTGGGTTCTCTTTAGAATGACCAAAGCAAAGCCAAACTCCGAAGAATCGCTTTTCCACAGCTTTCCACGGCAATCCGTGACATGTTTAAAAAATGACATGTCCTGCTTCACAATGAAAGTCCATTCCGCAATGCCTTATGAAGTGACCCTTGGTATTTGTTGGTAACCCATGTTGTAATGAAAATGGATCCCCAAAGTATACAGGTGAACTCCTGACTGGGATCCTTTTTAGATCATATGCCTCACATGACTGGGATCCACTCAGATCGGGGTGGCCTTATCCAAGTACCACGCCAGGATGGCAAAGAGCGCGGTGTCGACCAAAAGCATCGCGAGCACTTGGCCCATGGAGCTATTGTCGATCGCCTCGTCCATGTTCGACCAGCGAACTCCTGTTTGTAGCGGGGTGAGGGGAGCCAATGGCGGCCAATGGGAACCCTAGGAGTGTCACTGGGAACACTGCCAGAAGATCTCAAGGCTGGTTGTGCTGAGAAGGAATACGAGTGATGAGAAAGAACTGCTGGCCCATTGATGGCGGCTTGGGGCAGCAACTCCTCAGGCTGAAACTATGTAATGATTTGCGAGCTTGCAGCTGGAAAGCCAGTCGCTCAACGAAATGGTTTGAAGCCGTTTGATGCAAGTTTGATGCAAGCGATGCATGTGATATATATGTTCATATAATAGCTTCAATGTCTTGCATCTTGCTGACTTTGCTCCAGGAGCTAAAAGAAAAATGACATTCAACTCACTGTCCGCGCTCTCTTCCACTGCGCTCTCCTACCCCTGCGCTCTCGAACTCGGCGATCAAGCCCGCACCTGAGTCGGCACTGGGCCCGGTCGACATGCGGGCCTCACCTCTTCGAGGGCGGAGTCCTGCAACGTGCCGCGGACGAGTCTTGCTGGGCCCCCCCCCCACCTGCACCTGAAGGCTCCTTTTCCCCCCACCCCCACAAGACCTCCCCAGATCCACACAATCTTGGGCCCTCTGGGTGTTCACACCCTTAACCCACCACCCACGCGGCACTCGCCACGCCGAACCAAGGCACCGATGGAGAGCGCCACCGGCGGCGACAGCGAGGCCAGGGCTTTCGTGGCCACCGAGGCGCCGCTGTTGGACACGAAGCTGGGGAGCCGGGAGCCGGGGAGCGAGCGAGGGGGGGGCGCCACGCGGTCCAACGAAAAGAGCGAGCAACGGCGGGTCCGAACCGGTTCGAAAGCGAGGTTCCGAAGCAAGTGGATGGTGCTTTGTTGGGTGTCTTTTCCTCAAAGAGGCCGAGTTTGTTTCGAGGAGGACGAAACAGGATCGTTGGATGTTTTGAACTACAGTTCCACCCACTTTTTCAGTAGCCCGACCGACCCGTCGGTGTTTCCGTCCAGGGAGCAGAAAGGGGAAGTAGAGCAAAAAGAAGAGCAGCGCTCCCACCACACTCGCTGTCTTCGCTTTGGAGAAGAAGACGGCAATGAAGGAGCAGAGCGTCACCACCTCGCCGGTGCGATTCGTGCTCGATTCGTGCTCGATTCGTGATCGTGCAAGCACGGACGACGGACGAAAGGGGTTTGTTGGATCCATCCGTGAACCGATGCGTTTTTCTTTCTCCAGATGCTGCAAGGAGGTCAAAAAGGACACCCACTTAGACTTATTCAAACCCTTCCTTTAGAGGTTGCTTTTCACACACCATTTTCTTTCATCCACACGCGAATGGTGGGTGCCAAAACCCGAGAGGTGTGTATTTTAATAGGGAGACCCCCTGGCCACTGGTAGTCTGTTTTCCGAACCATCCAGAGGGTTGCGCTACCTCAGGCCATGGCAGGCCGTGGCAGGCCGTTGCAGGCCGTCTTGCCGCCTGGTCTATCTACGTCACGCGTGCAGGCTGCCAGCTGGAAACATGGCAGCAACGTACAAACAAACAAAGGAACCGACGAACAAACCAGCGAACAAAGCAAGAAACAAACAAAACCCCTCCGTCAAGGCACACAAACGCCGAAGAGCCAGAAGAAGAGGAAGACCACGAACTTGTCGCTGTGTTGGAAGACCGAGTTCCAACCTGACGGAAGGTGAGTTGGAAGACTGGTGCCGGGAAGCAATCGGAAGGGTGATGAATCAGAGGTCTGGGGGAGAGAACGGGAGAGACGAGTGTGTTACTGGGATCTTTCTTTCCGGGGGTGTCTTCCCAAAACGATGTAAATAGTAAAAAGAATAGCCAGTTCACCCATCTTGCTTGTTGGTCATCCATTACCCCATGAGCCCCAAAACCGGGTCCTGCCACATGAAGAGTCTGTAAATCGTTGGTTTTCACACAGCTGAGAGTGGTTGCACTGCTTCATAGCTAGCCCGCATCTGCTTACAGCCAGCCCGCCCACATCTGCGGCGTTTCTGGCCACGCCGAGCCGCACACCAGCGTCATCAAAGCGGCTGGGACGGCCCAAAGAAGACCGTAGGTCACATACCAGCCCAGCAGAATGGCCTCCGGAGGAAGACGGCGGCTCGAACGAATGAGTGGCGCTTGGAACTTGGAACCTTGGGCCATCACGGATTTAGAAGACCATGGGTAAATCGTCCGTTGGATCATGTGCATGACATGTCCAACCCCACCGCCCACGATGAGTTGATTGAAACGACATGACCCGAATTGCGCATCAAAAAAGAAGACCGATGTCCGTGAAAAAAACCGCACCTCTGCTGGCATGCCCATCATCTTCATCACCTCATTGATGCGAGCCTCCTTGTCCTCGGCCATGCGTTCGGCCATTCCGTGGCACATCCGTGGAGACTAAAGAGAGCGATCCTATACAGTGCCCACATGAAGTGTTGCTAGGATCGCTACCTCATGGATTCAGAAGAGAACCAGACGTGGAAGCCTCGACTTGATGCTGTCGACGTCTTGGAAAACTGCAGTGCCCACCTTCCTGACCCCATTCCGGAGGAACTCCCGTGCCGATCTCAGGACGACCGGACCATCCGTTCGGCCGTTCGTTTTCACGGCTCCTCCACCAGGCTCTTCATGATGCGAGTCAGGGGCCAAATGAAGACGAGCACCTGAAACCAACGACCGATGCCCCACAAGAGACTCAAACGCGCCAGGGCTGCGTCCAGCAACTCCATGGAGGTTGCTGTATTGAAGCGAATCAAACCCACAAGTTCTTGAGAAGTCCTGCCTTTTTGCACCAGGGCGGAGATAGCGATTGTTTCCCTGAAACGATGAGAGGTTGCTTTGTACGCTCTGTAGAAAGCTCCCAACGCATCCTCCTGGATCATCCTAATCTTGCGCAAGCGCACGAATCGCAACAAACAACACATTCACAAAAAACGGTCCATTTCCCAACCCCAAAAAACCTCCTCATCGATTCTGAGACCAAATCCAAGGCACAAAAAAGAGTCCGAACACGCTCTCCACAAAGGAAGCGAAAGGGTCATCGGTGTAGCTCGGAGTGGGAAAGGGGATCTCCCGAACGCCGACCTCAAAATGGGCGCGGTACTGCATGCTTGAGGCCAGTGGGCTGTTTCGGAAGCCATTTCGGAAGCCATGAACCTCTTGCTCGCTGTGAGGAAAGCCTTTTGAAAGGTGAACAGGCTCTGGTCCTCTAGAAATGCTGGCTGTGGCAGGCAAAAGCTTTTTCCCTGGTGTTTCACGAGGAACGTGCCCCCGCGTTCTTGTCGTTTGGTGCACTGAACCACCCAAATCTCTTCCATAAACCGAAAGATCGAAGCCAGAGCCGCCAAGTCGAGTACGTCACTGTGGCAAGTCCAGGCAGAATGCAACAACCGCCGCTGATCGGGATTGAGTACTTGAACAGTATCAAGTCTCATGAAATATCACACAGGTTATACCAAGAAAGTAAGCATCAATGGCCGGCAGCCCAGGTGTCTTGTTAGATTCTTGACCGCATGTCGGTCAATTCATATCAACTGGACAAAAGTGTCGGATCCAGCCGAACCATGCCAAACCTCTGACGGCAGGTGACCTGGACCTCAAATGGACCTCCTTGACTTGTCTTCGTTCGGCCAGCCGAAACACCCCAGCCGAAACCGCCAGAGTCGCGGCCGAGTCGCCGGCAAGATCCCGCTCAGGCGGCCCAGGCAGCCAGCCTTCGAGCCCAGCGCTTGCGTCGACCAGTAGGGCGTCAGCGAGCGGATCGCGGTTTGGAACAAGGCGCTGCGGTTGCAACGGCTGAGCTCCTGCAGATGTTTCTGGCGAGGGAAATGGATGGTCTAGCGAAGAAAGTCCCAAATTGGAGTCCCACATCCAGTGACCTCAAACATAGGCCTTTCCATGAAACCTGGGGATCAAGTTCGGTCACTTTGAAGAACCCAGGGTCTCAAGAAACAAAAAAATGAATTCGAGTGTCCAAAGCCCAAAGCCCGAGGTTTCACCAAACGTCAACCATCGCACCATTTTGCCCCCAGTTCTCCGTTGTCTTTCTTCGTCTGTGTTTCTTCGCCCATGCGACTTGCCTCCGTCTCTTTCCCAGTCTCATCCACACAGCTACAGCCCGGCAGCTCGTGGCCCGAGGGTAACTGATAGGCGCCGGTGGCGTTGAAGATCCACGCATAGACCAAGCTCTGGAGATCGATGAGGCCGCCCGTGGGCAACGCCAACCCCAAGGAGTGGGAGAGGCCACCTGGGAGCGGGGTGGTGTGTGTGTGTGTGTGTGTGTCGTTTCTTTTTTGAAAGCAAGCAGGACGAGTCTGGGAAGTTTGGAAAGAAGTGATTCACTATGGATTCACTGATCTATTTCTTTTGAACCTCTTTCATGTGAAGTTTGCTGCAGCGTAGACTATTGATCACCTGTTCACAAAAAAAAAGAACGGGGAAGAAATTCCCCAAAGGTCATATAAGGACCAAACCAATCTCACCTTGTGCTGGTCCTAAGAAACCTGGCCGGAAAGCGGCACAAAACACCCCGCTTTGCTCCGAGTGGGACACTCCACCGTCTTTCAACAAAAGGGGGGATGGATAGCGGATGGGTGAGGGGGAAGTCTAGAATAAACATGAATTGAATCCAAGGAATAAGAAGCATACCGTACTTGATGTAATGTTCGTTCTATCTACACCCTGCGATGATGGGTTCACCCATCTCGCACATCTTGCGAATCGGACCGCCGCGGCTCGCGGGCCGAGGGCGGACCCAGGATGGGCAGCGTGCGAAGGAGACAACAACTTGTGGAATGAAACAATGGTAACTCTTAGGTCTTAGCATTATTCTAAAGTCATGAAACATCATGAAACCATAGGTTTCTGAAGATGGTTCAATGGAGCTGACGCTTCAGATGGCTCATGTCCGTTTCCCTATTCCAGTTCCACAGAAAGCAAAGAACCAAACATCTCTCGCGATCGGTCATGAGCTCTGGTGTGCGCAAACCGCGCGCGCGTCCGGACGAGCGAGCGCAGCCTTCACGCTTGCCCAGTCAGGCGGCCAGACCAGTAGATCTTTGATGTTGACATCTTCAAGCCTTTGTTGAGAGTGCTGACCTCTGGTGTGAGCTTCGTGTTGATGTCTGTGGCTCCTGACATTTGATGTCAGCGACCGGAAGCTCGATGGTCGTGCGAGAATGTGAGAAGATTCCCAAAAAAAAAACATGTAAAACCCCAGCACTGATGTTGAATTCTAGCAATGGTATATAATGTTTCAGAATGTCCCTTCCCTTGCAGGATGATCATCAAAAAGTCTGGTCAAGGACCTTTGGGCAGTTCAGAGTTCACAAACTGCATCCAGGTCTCACCTCGTTCTTTTCGCCCATCACTTCTCCATGAATCAAATGAATGTCATCGACACTTCTAGCTAGAAGCTACTAGATTGGAGGCCATCGCTACTAGGTTGGAGGCCATTACTAGTAGCTAGAAGCTACTACTAGTAGCTTAAGGGCATCGTAGAACACGGGCCATCGCGCCAACGCTTCGAACATCGGCCCACCTTGGATGTCCGCCGTTGACGTGCTGGGTCCCGTCGTGTTGAGATGGATCACAATCTCCCAATCCCCAGCACAGCCGCTTCCCTTAGACCCCCGGCTGTTCCCAAAAAACGAAAAAAGCAGAAGACACTCCTCCCGGCTTGCGAAGATAAACGGATCACTTTCTTATCATCGAAAGGTGATGGTTTTTCTCATCCCTTGAAATGGATGAAAACTGAGTCTGCTTGGTTTATCTTTCTGGACGCCACGACAATAAAGAGCACTGCACGAATAGGCCCAAATACGTTTATTATCAAAGTATATCAAAGTTGTATTCATCTTCAAATGGTAAGTCCTCTATCATCTTCACCGTGTTTTGGGCCAGACGAAGCCCAAAACCACTCCACGACACACTTTGCCAAAAGACCAAAGCTTCAAAAGTCAAACGCAAAGCTCACAACCAATGCAAGGGCGGGTCAATTTGCCCTACTTGCAAAGGGGCCCTTACATTGAAGTTGCTAAGTCATTGCTGCAGGTACGTGACCTGCCGCGTCTTGGGATCACACCAGCCATGGATTGCAGCCTTCAAAGGGACAACCAACTGCATCCACCGGGGTTGTCCATGATATATTCAATGCCATACATCGTAAACATGCAGAAATAACAAATTACGCCAGCAAAGACTCCCGACAACCAAAGATATGTATGGGCCTATCGTTCTCCAAATTCTCAGAGCACCGTGAAACACTCTCCACAAAAGTTGTCCTGGAAAAAATCGTCAGGTCCAGAAATGCTGTAACAAAAACACTGCAGCTCGTGAAGTTGGTGCCTTCCATGTTCATCTCCCTATGGCCTTATGGCCCTACTGTTGCTAGGAGCCCCGCAAATCTGGATTCTGTCTGACATCCAACCCCCCACGCAAGCAGCTGCCATGCTACTGTGCACTCGGCAGCGGACTGTACCACAATGGCGCCGAAGAGCCTGAAACCAATTCCCGCTCGTCGCACGGACAGGAAAACCCATGGGACATCTGCAGATCTGAAGGAATTCGAGACTTCTGAGCCCGGTCTAACCGTGAACTTGAAGAGTGCAAGCATACCTTGTACACTCCCGAGTCATCTCACATGGACCCTGAGGAATGGCACCCTCAGAATGTCAGTTTTCCTCTACAAACGAGTGGTTTTCAGGGTCCATGTTAGTTTTCAGCAGTTCCCGGCATCTACAAATGACCATTGCAGGTGGACGGGATCAAACACTGGCCGTCAGCTTGTTCCGTTACCCCTACTTGAAAGCAACCAACACCCGATGACGTCCATGTCACAGGTGGAGAAAGAATGAAGAGAAATCGCTGGCTGGCCACGCTGGATTCTGCTTGTCGAAGCCGTAGTCATGGTTTGCCAAGTACTTCTCGTAAGACTCCTGCCGAGCGTGAAGCGAGGCGCGAGACTCGAGACAACCTCTTCTTGGACCCGCTACCACTGCCAAGGAAGGGCCTTTATTCTTTTGAACATCCCAGAAATCCTCCGCCTTCCGCTTCTCGGTGCAAGAACACTCGGACCAATCTAATTGATAGGTCCATTCCAGTAAATCTCATACGGCTTCCACTCGCTCCCCAGTTCAGACGCCAACGCCGAATCATCTCTTGCAGCTCTCCTGGGAGTCGAAGTACTGTGTGAGGCTCCGGTAGTTGGGCAGCGACGCCACGAAGTCGTAGAGGGTTTGGCCTCGGTGGGGGAGGGAACGGGAGATGGAAAAGCCGAGGGTTCCTGGTGGTGTTCAAAAAGAGCAACATAAAAACCCAAAGGCACCTATAGTCAGTGGGACTAGAATGAAAGCCTATACGCCAAGCAAGAACGCAAATGGTTTGAGATAGACGAGAAAAACTGTTGCGGGCGAGCTTTCGGTGAGTTCAAACCCTACTGGTCTTTCCAGTGGTCCAATGAAAGTGCCCTTTCAATCCCTTTCACTAGGAATGCGAGGAATCGGCATGATCATACGAGTGCTGAAGGATTTGAAGTGGGCCAGCCACGTCGTCTTTGATCTGAAGTCCCGCGCCTGCGCTGCCCACGATCCCCAAGCGCAGCCCCCGCTGGGCCAAATGCAAGGGCAAAAGCCCGTCCAGTGCTGAGCCTCCGCAGCGGCGGAGGCGGAGAAAACGACATGAGACGTGCACGGTCAGGTCGGGCGGGAGACAGAGTTCCACCAAGCAACTCTGTGAACCTCTCGTGTGCTTGGCAGACATGTCTCATTGAAACCTGCATGGTTCATCCGCCAGATCTTGGTCTCCCAAATCCTCATGCCATCCAGATAGGCTCGGAACACACGGATCATCCTTCTAGGCGCTCCAAATCTTCTGGATCCGATCGGTCAGGCTCAGACAGAGGAGAGCTCTTGACTTTGGACCCAGTGGAAGAGCTGAAGAACCAAAATCGGATGCCAAAGTCCTTTGGGAGGAGGGGAATTGGATGTTCGGAACACACCCCTCACGTCGACATATATATATATACCTGGACCTTGAAGGGGTGTCCAATGGAGGTCCCTTAGTGGTGTAGGGGCTTCCATTGGTGACCGTGTATATACATAATATGTGGCTTCGATACCCAAGCTCTTCCCTTCGGTGACTTGGTTTTACTTTCCGGTCCGCCTGTGTAATGCTCCTTCCTGAGGCCCCAGGTCGCATTCGCGAAGATTTCGGGGCAAAGGCCACTGTCCGGCAGACTCGGTACGAAGCACGATCCGGTCGAAGCGCGCGGAGGGGCGGCAGGCGGGGCACAGCGGCTAGACCCGCCGCCTTCGGGGCCGGTGGGTTTCTCTTCGGGCGCAGGATCAAAGGAATGGTGAAGAACTTCCCACGTTCATGGTCCCAAGCGCCCCACACCCAGGAAGGAAAGGCCCTCAGGAAGTCCCACCGGCTAGGTCTCCCGGTCCAAAAAGGCGCCAGACGCCATTGGCAGAGGCCAAAATGGTGGTTTTTTCTCAGGTCTGGAAGAGGCCCAACCCAAGTCCCAAAACCACAATATTTGGTGGGGCCAGTTTATCCTTGTTCTTTGTGCTTTCCTGCAGAACGATCTTCCACTGTTTCCACAGCAAAAGGGAAACGGCAGCAATTACCCTGTTTCAACGGAACTTTGACAGGTCACTTGCAGAGCTGCTGGAGCTGCTTCTGCAGGGCGGGAGGCAACCCTGCCACTCCGAACGATTTGCCAATGTCCGGGAGACAGTGTGGACTGCTTGCAGCTGATCAAAGCTGGAAGTTGAAAAGTGTTTGACAAAATTGACTGGCTGCAAGTGTGGGATTTGGAAAATCAATTGACAAATGGCTGCCAGTGTTTTGTCCATTATTTTATTTTTAGCCGGGATTCCAAAAATGCAAAAATCCCTCACACAGTCGGTTCTAAACACCTGAAAGCTCGTTATGGGCAGCCCCCATCAAGCAATCCAAACAGGGGGTCGACTAAAAGGGATCAAAAAGGCCTGAACAAACAAGATCGAGCTGCCAAACTGGTCTACGAGCACACCAAAGATTGGCTGCTTCGAGAACATGTTTCATCATGTGAGCATAGCTTGCACAGACCCCTGGCCCAGAAAAACACCCAAATCCCCAAAAGGCTGGGCTGTACGGCCCGCACCGAGTCCACCGTGCTGGTCCGGGGCACCTGGGATCTGTTCCACGTCCAGGGCGTCCGCCGAAAACCAGGTGGGATTGTTCGCCTGAACGGCGATAGAGAGCGCGAACGAGGGAGGGCCTGGAGCCCGAAAGGAAAAGGTGAGCCAAAGCAGCAGCTCTGCCAATCTTGAGGAAATTCTGATTCGGGTATCGCCTCCTTTGAGTGACATTCCAGATCTCGTGTTGGGAGCAAGGATCAAGTCTGAAGTGTCACTAGAAGTTCATTGGTCTGAGGACTCTATGCATGTGCAATTTTGGTCGAACTGATCCTGCAATCATCCTGCGAACATTAGTGTCCCTTTGCCAATGGCTATTAAAGGCAGTGAAACAAATAAGTGATGAAAGCTCCATGGCAGCGTGCAACCACTCGCACACCGCGCCGCCGGCGCTGACTGGGGACCTGGAAGCCTTGGATCGACCCAAGTAAAGGAAGGGTCGTTTCCCGAACCGACTGAAACCCACCTGTGTCCGGCCATCCTTCACCGGGCGCTTTCCTGTTTGCCCAGCCACGGGAGCATTCACGTAGTTCCGCGCCGGCACGTCTTCCTGATGGAAGAAGAAGACATAAGACCCGTGGTCAATATGGAGGGGTTTGTCAGGGTGTCCAAGCTTCTATGTCACCCACTTCGGTCTTCGGTTTCCCCTCTTCCGGTGGGCCGTGGCTGCAGCTTGCAAGGCTTCTTAGCGGTGGGTGCGAAGGCTTCCCAATGGCTGAGCCCCTTGACTCCGGTCACTGTTGAACAGACGGACTACTCCAGTGGCGAACAAAAGCTTTGGATCTGGGACTTGAAAAGCTTATTAGGAAGAATTCCCTTTGGTCTTGGGATTGGTTAGCAAACATTTCATCCCAAGCCCGCTCACCCCGAAAAGGAACAATTGCTGATTGCGGGTGATTCCAAAATCTCACCAAGAATGCACCCACACTCCCCTGCACTCCCATTTCTTCCCATCTCATCTTGCCCCCCTCTCGCTTTCCGGCCACTCCTTCTGCACCTCGCTGCGGATCCAGATCAACAGCCCCATCAGCGCCACGGGCAACAGCAACTCCAGCAGCGCCGGAGCCCATTGCCGCGACCTCGTCCGACGGAGCGGAGCATCCGGGTGAAGTCGGTGGGTGAATCCGTACTTCCTGGGTGGATAGAGCTACTGGGCAAAAAGACCTGAGATGAGATGCATCCATGTTCTCTCTTGGTGCCTTTTTTGAGGCACCCAAACACTGTAGAGCCACCACCAAAACATCTGGACAACTCCAAAAAGGAGTGCTCAACTGAACCCTCACCCAATCAACCAATCGAGCTCTCCGGTTCTTCGAAACCAATCCTGCACTCGTCGGCTCTTTCGGCCCATGGGACTGGCACTTCAGCCAAAACGCACAGAACCCAGTCAGCCAAACCGCCCCCCCAAACGTCAAGCCTCCCATGAAAAAGAGATCTTCCCCCAATCCAAAACCCCAACCCGATGTGTCTCTCCGTCTTTCCCCCACCGTCCACAACGACGTCTCCACCGTTCCAACGACCGTCCCCCCCGCGGAGGGTTCCGACGGACGTTCGTGTCAAAGCCGCTTGAGGGTGAAGTTCTTCCGCAGCACGGCGCCGAGGCAGCGAGAAAAATGCCACATGTTTCTTGTTCAGTAAAGGAAAAGGAATGGTTGGAAGGAAAGGGTTCAAGATCTTCAAGAAAAAGGAAAGAAAAAGGGACAAAATGACTCAGTGACGTAAAGGTTTAGGACATATTTCTATGGCTTGTCTCACTCGATGGCTGCTGATGTTGTTTTCGAAACAGTTTGTCATGGTTTCATCCATCGATTTGGGCCCTTATACCTCTTGCAAGTGCTTTGTTTGGTGTATTGCTTTGCAAAATGTCTTTCTTTGCGAGCTTTATCCTGCAACAGCACACCCTGTTCACACTTCAAATCATGGTGAGGGCCACAGAAGAGGCTTCAGAATAGGGACAAGTGTGGGCGCAAAGGAGAAACCGTGAAAAGGGTGGGTGAACCGTCTGTGCCACCCAAAAAGACCGGCGCTTTTAGCGGTACACATCAGTCCCAGGTTGGATGGGAGCCATGCTTTTTCACATGTCAAGGTGATCTATCTACCTGGTGAACATCGGTGCATTTGCTTTTGCACTCTGGCTCGCCTGTAGAAATAGACGCTTTTCCCGGGACGAGCACCGAAACCCACTTGCGGGGTTGTTTTGCGGCCGGCTGGAAGGGCTGGCGACCACCAGGTGTTGGAGTCCTTAAAATGGCCAGTTCCAGAAGATGCACTATGTGGCCTGCACAATGACCACTCCTCCCAATGTCTTTCCAAGTCCTCCACCAATTACCCCATCCATTCCCTCCGTTCGATCCAAGCGTTGTCCACCGGGGTACCTACCGAAAAAGGGGCCGCGTTATAAGGGCGGTGAACGTTCGAAGGACTCTTCGCACCGGTTTTCTTCCCATCTCCCTGTGTGGAGTCATCCGTCCGGTCTGCCGAAGCTCTTCTGTTCGCTTCTTTCCCAAGTAAAGGAAAGTCCTCGTCTCGGGTCACCCAAAGAATAAACGTTATTTACTTCAGTCTCCGACGCGACGAGACTGCAGAACGAGACTTTCGCCCACCGTCTGGCAGTGACTTTTGGACTCGCAGAGAACATGCTGCTACGACACACCATGCGCCGCGCGCAGACCAAAAGCCATTGGTTGGGGGTTCTCCCAATTAAGGTAAGTACATATATCTGAATATCTACTTCTGAGGATTTCTTGGAGATTCATCTTCGAACTAGAAGACCTTGGATCCGAACGTCAAGTCCCCATCCCTTTGATTGGTCTCCATGTGTCTCCATGGTTCATCGAACAAAGCCAATACCGAAGAAGCTTCGCCTTTGTTCGACCGGACTGCAGCGGCTTTTTCGGACGCGCCGGTGGACACGGAGTTGACGCCAATCAGGCTGGGACCTGGCACAAAAGGATCCCAAAAGGACGGGCTCTAAAGGAAAAGAGACGCTGGTTCTTCCAATTTGAAGAACTGGAGTCTCTTTTCCTTTAGAACCGGTCTCCTTTTGGGATCCTTTTGTGCCAGGTCCCAGCCAGCAGCCCCAAAAGCTAAAAAGGAGCACGGAATTTGAAGAACTGGTCTCTTTTCCTTTAGAACCGGTCTCCTTTTGGGATCCTTTTGTGCCAGGTCCCAGCCAGCAGCCCCAAAAGCTAAAAAGGAGCACGGAATTTGAAGAACTGGGCTCTTTTCCTTTAGAACCGATCTCCTTTTGGGATCCTTTTGTGCCAGTTCCCGGCCAGCAGCCCCAAAAGCCAAAAAAGGAGCACGGAATTTGAAGAACTGGAGTCTCTTAGACTTTAAAACCAGCTTCTTTTTTTTATCTTTGGAAAAGCGTTGTTCCAGGGGGAGGGGTCAAATCACAACGGCGGGGTCGCAGTCTTTGTCTCTACCCAAGGGTGGAGACAAAGTAAGATTTTAAGAGGAGACGGGGTCGCAGTTTTTGTTTGTTCCTTGTTGTTGTTGTTGTTGTTGTTGTTGTTGTTGTTCAGAAACCCATGCAAAAACCTGTGAAAACTATGGGAAAACCTAGAAAATCATGGAAAAACACTAGGCAAAATACATTGGAGAACCCTAGAAAACCATGGAAAAACCATTGAAAACCACAGTAGAAAAACCAGGGAAGGACGGAGAGCGATCCAGGGGGGGCGGATCCTGGGGGGAGGGCGTTTCGTCCCGACCCCTCCCTCCTCTCACCCCAAAGAGCTAGTAGTACTTGCTAAAGCAAGAGTAGCTGCAAGCTAGCTCCGCTAGCTTTCGTGATTGCAGTGAAAACCAATTACTGCCTACACGTTCTGACATCTTTCAAAACACAGACCTGTGAGTTTGAATATGTTTGAATGCTCAAGAGAAATCCAGCCTGGCTGAATGGATTTGAACTTCTGGGCAGAACTGATCTCAAAGAATGGTTCTTCATCCTTGAAGGAAAAGCTCCTTGCAACTCCATCGCATGGGATGCAGAAGTCCAAAACTTCCTTACCTTGCTGCTCTTGCTGCTTCACATAGACATGGTAGCCTGTGTGTGCCGAATTGGCTGCAAGTCCAACAATTTCTATACCACCCCACGTGTCTCGCACAAGTTTTCTCAATTTGCTGTCCTGGTCATGCCTTCCAATGATCAGCAAGCACTTGTGCTTGGCTTTTGCGTAGTTTGTCACTTGGTCAAAGCGATTTCGGTGTTCTTCAATGTCAGCTGCTCTGCGAGAAGCCATGACCGCTTCAATGGCGAAAGTTGAACCCTGCATTCTACAAATCTTCCCCATACTTGGGCTCTCCAAACCATATGCACGAACTCCCAAGCGCTTCAACACCCGAATTACGGCGGCCGCGTAATGAATCTCAAATGCGAGCTGCTCTTGTGAAACATCAGGTAGAACATTATCTTTCCCTATTGTGGCCACCACCACATCTGGAAAAAGCAAATATGGCAGCGCTCGCAAAAGCAGATCTGTGCAAGAAACTGGCTTTCTGTCTACATCCACTGTCAGCTGCCGCTTGACTGCAAGCACTGAGCGGTAATAGGAAGCCATCAGGTAGTTGGCGACACAATACTTTCTCCCCACGTCTGCCCAATCCAGTTCCCGAAACTCATTTTGCTCCGCCCCCATATTGTCTTGCAGAGTAGGAAGTATAAAACCATGAATTGTGAGCTCGCGACGGAGAGGTATTGCGATGTCATCAGTACCCTCGCACAAGAGTTTCAAAAATGGTTCTGGTATGTTCTCCAAGCTTGCGCCCGTTCACACGAATGGCCCGACTAGCCTGAAGTTTCCTCATCAAACTATCATCTGGCACGTCAATCCAATTCTCTGTGTCCCATGCTAGGCTAGCCTCGCCAAGGGCGCGAGTCCAATTCCACGGAGTGCTGTTCCTGCTCTGCTTTTCCTGCACCCATTCCATGGCTCTCATGAAAATACCTCTGTGTCCACCACAAAGGTTCATAAAGAAATCAATCGCTTTTTGACACAAATACACATCAGCCGGGGCAAGTTGATTAACAAGAGCTTTGGCATGTGGAATTGGGGGCGTCCACGTGTATTTTCCAGTAATTTCGCCTGGCGTTGTAAAGGTCTGTCCTTGCAGACTTTGCATTTCAGATGCTGCAGATAATAGCAGAACCATTGGACGCTGTTTCAGATACGGGGGGCGTTTTCAGGAACTGCTGGTAGAACTCGGGGCAAGCAAAAAGCAAATGGCATTCATCGGACACCAAGACCTGTTCGTTTTTCGAGAGCAGCTCGAATGCAATCTGCAAGTTTCTGACTACATCAGCGGGGGAAACCGCTTGCAACAAAGCCTTCTCCCAACATTCTGCATCGGTTGCCTTCCCAGGAGCAGGAGGATAAACTTGCAGATACCTTGCTCTCTACAAAGATATTGCGCCAACGTAGACTTGCCGCTAGCCACACCAGCACGCAGAAAAACAACCCTCTCCTCTTGCAATAAAGTTTCAGGTTTCATTCAATTTTGCCAGGACTGTCTCTGCCGATAGGTACGGAATATTGATCAAGATTCCCCCTTCGTCCAAGAATTGCCTTGCCAAGTTGGTCTTTGTGAAGTCTTCTGCATCCGCCCCGTCATAAACCAAGCATTTTGCGGCACTAAAGTTCTTGGATCGCATGGTGCTGACGAACGTCTCCATCAATCTGAGGGATGTTGCATTGTCTTTGATTTTTTTCACCAAGGTTTGGGTTGTTAGCCCGATTTCTGCAATCAGGAAATGTGGTGCGTGTAGTGTTGCGCAGGTGCTGTTGTGCATGTGCGTCATGTGGTCCTTGGCAAAGTCTTCCCAAGCTTCATATCCATCTGCTACACCGAGGAAGTCTATCTGACCTTTTTTTGCCCATGTCTACCGAAAAGGCCTCGAGCACCGGAGAATACTTGGTGCCAAGCTTTTGCGTGGCATGGGCTTCAAACAGGCGACCCCATGCTGTGTGCGCAGCTTGCAGTACTGATTCCAGTTCCATTAGGTCAAGGTCCCATTCGGTCATCTCGGCACAGCACAGCGTCCGCTTCCGCAGCGCAGCGTGACTTTGCCTTGTCCCAAACATAGAGCCAAACGCACCTCCACGAAGCAGCTTCGTGAATATCAAAAGCAAAATCCACAAAATCCATGGCTTCCGACTTATGGAGGCAGTCATAAAAGCATGATCCTGCGAATACGGCCCGCATTTGAACAAGAAAATGTGTTGACTGCGCCATTCTTTTTGTGGAACTGGCCTATGATCATGGTTGTCTGCACGGATTGACAAATACACATTGCTGATATCACACTTGTCGATGTCGTGTTCAAGTGTCTTGTCGATGTCATATTGAAGTGTCTTGTCGCCATGCTTGTCACTTCTTATACTTTTATGAGCCAAACTCAACTTTCTGCATGAGTGCGAGCTGCTGTCCATAGCATGATCAGCATCTGAAGTAATCCAATGCGAAGTCAAATGTTCTACAGATTCTACATCATAGCTTGCATTTGCAAATGGAACTTCACAGGGACATATCTTTCACCAATTTTCCGATTGACCTTCAATTGTCCAGTGTTTTCTCGTCGCGCCTTTCGACAAAGGCACAACAAAACTGCGCTTGACAAATCCATCAAACCATTCGCCACTTGAGTTTTTGCCACTCCTTTTTTCGTTTTTCTTGCCGCGGGGTGAAAGTCTGTGAGCAGCTCTGCGCACGGCTTCTGCATCAGCTCCGCGTCTTTCGGTTGCAGACCTCTCATCTTTTCCCAGCCGAACCGAAAGACGAAGAAAGGAAATGTCGGTCTCGCAATGGAGAAGATAAATGTGCAGTGGGAAAGAGAAACTTATATAATTTCATGTGGTCAAACTGTCATGCTCACTCAATGGGTCAACAGTGCACTACAATGGTTCAGTGTTGAACATCAATGGGCCACACTGCTTCAAGAAGCACTATTTAGACAGAAAAACATCGCCACACTGCGAACGCGTTTCTCACGAAGAAGCCAGCCTCTATGGAATGAAGTATCCATAGCAGTCCAACCTGAATGATTGGTTAACCCCCCGCACTTCAGCAAGGCACTCGTCACAAGTATTAACACGTTCTACTGAGGGGAGGACTTGGAGATGCTAATCTAAGTGAGAAAAAAAAACAACTTCATGGCTGGCATTCCAGAGGTCTTCTGAATTCTTTCCCTTGGCCTTGAGTCAAAACACCCTTTCAGTGCCTAGCTCACCATGTTTTCCGAAGACTTGAAGAGATCTGCTGCTCCTACTGCTCCTACTGCCAAGAAGGTATCCCTTGATAGCTTTTTGATAAAGCCAAAAATCTGTCACAAAAAAAGGGTACCCCAGTGCACACCCAAAAAGCCTCTTTAAAAGGACAGGGTAGGGAGGTAGCAATCCCCGAAAAGGTACCCTAGATGTTGACCCAAATTGAAACCAACTGCAACTATCAGAGGTCAAAACGAATAAATAGTTTCTTTTTAGTTCACTTTTTGTTTTTGTTTTTCATCTTCTACGCCAAAAGGAAACCAGGGCCGTCCACAAGCATCTGTCTCTCCTGCGCTTAATCTCCACTCTCCTGCTTTGCATATTAGTTACCTATGTCTCTTCTTCCCTCGTTCTTTTTGTCGGATTCTCCTGGGCTCTTCTTTGAGGTTTTCATAGATGTTCCATCTTTCAGTGATCTTTTGAAGGTGTCCTCAGCCTACCTGTTCCTAAGGCCAAGAACATTATTTCAGGACACCTCATGTTTCAAACATGGTCCCCAATCAGTGTATTGTGCTGGAGTGTTCGTAGTGGTGGGGAAAAACAAGCTTTTGGAGACCCTGAGGAAAATATTGTTTTTTCCTATTTTTCTTAGTTTCTCTTTGAAGGAGAGCTCTCTTTTCGCACTCCTTTCTTCTGTCATTCCCTTGTTGTTTCATTCTTTTCTTCGTGCCAACTCTCCTTACTTTTTCCATCACTTTCTTCTCTCACTCCCCCCTCTTCTCTCCTCCTTCCATCTTTTTCGTCTCTTATACTCGTCTTCTCTTACTCTCTTAATCTCTTATTCTATTTGTGTTGCCTTATCTGCAGAATGTCTTCTTTTTTCTCAGCCTTTTCTTCTTTTTCCTTTTCCTTTCTGACTCTCTTTTTCGATTCACTTCTGTTCTCGTTCTCCGGTTCTCTCTTTCTCTTCGTCTCTCATTTTCTCCGTTGTTTATTCTCATAAAACCTTCTTCTCCCATTATTGGTTTTCTTCATGTTCTTCTGGGTGTATTGTTCTTTCCGGTTTCGGCATGAGAGTCGAAAAAACCAAACCGACGTTATGCATGCTTCTCTTTCAAAAAGTTGCACTTGGTATACCTATCCTTTCACTCTTTTTTGTCTGTCCTACTTTCTCCTGATTCCCTTTCTCTTCGTATCCGATGCTGTTCTTCTCAGCGTCTCTTCTTCTAAGAGTATCTTCCAGTCTCCTTCTCTTCGTCCTTCATCCTTTTCGTTCCTATTTCTTTCTTCCGTCCTTTCTTCTCTCTTTGTTTTCTCGTTTCTTTGTTCTCTTGTTCTTCTTCTCGCACTCTTGTGTTTTCTCGTTCCCTTCTCTAATTGTTTCCCGCTTGCATTCTCTTTCTCTGCGTTCCTCTTCCATTCTTTCGTTGTACGTCCGCTTCTTTCTTCAGAAAAAAAAGAAATAAACATGCTTTCGCAGTCTTCCAGGACTCCAGAAGTGTATCAAACTGCTGGCTGCCAACAAATAGAAGTCGTAGTTCTGATGAGAACTTTTGGCAGGGAAAGTCCCACATTCCCCTGCACGGCACTGCAGCCTCGGCCGCCTCGGCTCGAGCTCTTTGGATTTCAAAAGCGCCCGGCTCGCGGCGGCTGGCCTTTTCTTTACAAGGGAACAACCGGCGGAACGGAGCTAAACAACTCGGATGGAGTCTCGATCCAAATAGGCCCAATGAAGCAAGGTCATAATAGCAAGCTGGGCAACAAGAGTCTTTATATAGACAAAAAATCAAACCCCTTTCCGGTCTTTGCAAATAAACTTCTGCATTTTTCCAATTTGGCACCAAGGTACCGCATTGTTATTTCCCTATCTCGCACGTTTTTTCCACCTCTTTCACCACCCCCCAAAACCCCTCGTCCTTCCGTGTTGGCGTTTTCGGCTTCGCTTCGATCCCACCAGAGGCCCCCGGCAGAATTTGGTTCCCATCCTCGTCCAAGAAGACCTCGGCGTTGATGATTCCCAATGGCGCCAAGTTTGGGTCTCTGACGGCTCAAAAAGATTGGATTGTTGGTTTCTTTGCGTTTTGGTCTTTGTTGGTTTTCTAAGAGACTGAGTTAGTTTTTGGGATTGCTTTGGCACCAATTTGTCATTTCCACCGGAGAGCCATGGGTTCATCAGAAATTGCTAGAGCACTTTTCTTTGAAGAAGGCAGTAGGCAAAGGCAAAAAGCAATAGGCACCATGTGCCTTTGTAGATGGTTTTGTTAGGAAGGACAATCTCCTCAATGTAAGAAGCAGAGTGTCACCAGTGCTTGAGACCAGCATCCAGTGGGCTGCAATGATGTTCGTCACGTCACGTCATCTTCTGCAAAGCGGACCTTTTCCGTTTGCATTTTTCGTTCGTCCGTTTTTCTCTTCAACGGCAGCGTTTTTGGGCCAGGCGCTTTTTAGACGAGGGTTTTAGAACGTTTTAGATTGGAAGTACAGAGTGCAAATCCAAAATTGCACCCACACCAACCTTTACAAAGCTCCCTGAGCCCCAAGCCGGGTGAAGAGAAACGAAGTTGTTGCCTGGGCGCTGAGTTAACTGAGGGCACCCAAGAAGTCTTTCAAAGGTCTGCCATTTTCACTTTCTGGAAGATTTCCTCAAACAGAAGCGTAAACAGAAGCGTGTCTTCAAAACGTGTCATCTTGAGACCGAAAGTGCTGTGATCTGGGATCCCTCTGAGGAAGAACCCAAAAAAAAACAGGCGACTGAACAGCTGCCGCACGGAACTCCCTCTTTTTATGGAGCGGCAAATCGGGGATCGGATGGCTCTGAATTTCCTTTACAGCGCAGCCTCTTTCGACGACAAGGTGCAACGCGGCTATGCCACCAGCTGAGTGTTCGGAGAACCCTCGCTTTTGGAATAAAACGATTCGATGGCTTCCATGGTCCGAAAGTAGATGTCCGGGTGGAAAACGCTCTCGGCTCTCCCGAAGTTTTATGACCTGTGACCGCAACAACGAAGCCGATGGCCAAGCCGAAGTCTAAATTGAGTTTGCTACTGTCTTTGTCAACAAGACTTGCTTATTGTAGTATCACAGAGTGCATCTCGTCCAGAGGCTTGCGATAAATAAAAGTTAAAAAAGAAATGGCAGGAATTTGTAACTCCTGCCGATCATCATCCTGCACCTGCTTTAAAAATGGGCTGATGATGGCTGCCCCTTTTCATGCTTTTGCATGGTTCGCCACTAGGACATCAACCACAAGGGCACTACAACTGCTGTTCTTCCTGCTGCTTGGCATCAGCCGCCTCCCCCTGGGAAAAAGACACCTGCTTCAAAGCTACACAGGGGACGACAGGGATGCACCTGGATCCGAAATCGCCAGAGATATCATCTCCAACTTGATTTGGACAAAGATATTCTTCAAACACCACTTGGAAAGGGGTTTTGAAAGGTAACGTTAACAGTTCTTTCTTTGGGCGATTCCGGCACCGCTCCGACAAACCCCTCAAACTTGGAGTCTGGACGTCACAGACAGCCACTTCACACGGATGAATCCGATGGCATGGTGTCCGAAGCGGCATCTAGAAAAAAACGAAGGAACAATGGCATAGCAGGATGGCAGCATGGCATGCCCCAAGAAAACACCTGGGCGGCTAGAAGGGTCTCTGTCTCAAACAGTCTTCCGGCGGCTGGGTCTCTTGACCTTCAAACGCTCCAAGGAGCGCGCCGAGAGCGCCGAGGACCGCGCGACGCGCGCACCGGAGGCGCGCGGTGCTCCGGAGGAGCGCGAGACGCGCGCGGCGCCCAGTTGGTGCTCCGGAGCGAGGAGTTCCTGGGCGAGGCGAGGCGGGAGGCGGTCCATTGAAGCCTGGACAAAGGAATCGGATGAGGAAGATAGGAAGATAACTACAAGTCAAGGTGCATCAAGAGGAAGATGTCGCATTCTCCAGCTATCAAAGAAGATATTTGGCAAATAACTTAATGCATGATCTGATCATGATCTGAAGCTGTATATCAATAGAACATATGTTAGAACAAATGGTCATACAGTCATACTACAGTCATACATTCATCCGTCTCCCAGTTTTCCCTGCCATCTCTGCCCTGCCTCTGGTGCCACCGAGGCGGTTTGGCACGCAATGAGGCAAGAGCCAGTGCTGAAGATAAGGATGCCAAGCAAGGTGAGGCATGCTAACCACGCAAGGCCTACCCCCAAGGGTTGCAAGGTGAAGCATATGGCAATTCCGGCCACCAGAAAGCTTACAAGCACTAAGCATAGCCCAGCAAAGAGTCCTATGGCAATCTTGGAATCACTGGTTTCTGCAAGACGGCGTTGGACCCCACGTACTGCGATCAAGCAGAAGACCACCGCTGGCAGTATGGCAGCCATCGAGCTAAGAAGGAGAAAGGCGATCGTGTAGGCCTCTGCTGTGCCTGCACCTTGAAGGCTCAAGTCGTCCCAAGTGTCTGCAAGGATGAACACAAGGCTAAGAACTGCTCCTGGTAGCACAACCAGAAGAAGGCAGCATCCACCCGCAGGCCAGTACTTTCGACCTTCCGCCTCACCTTTGGCAAGCCAGCCCACAAAGCAACAGCTACCCAATAAGGCCAAGAGCATCATCCAGAACGAGATGACATAGATGACACTCCATGGACGCGGCACGGCCTCTGCGGTGGCACGTGCGATGTTGGGCATGTTGAGCAAAATGACGGCACAAGCAACAATGAAGCTCAGCACCAGAGCCCCTAGCTGGGGACCCTTCGGGTGGCAGGTCTCAAGGGAGACATCCACGCAACAAGCGCTGTGGCCGCTGTGCGACGTCTGCCCCTTTTCGAGGTCCTCGTTGGAGAGCTTCGTCTTGCTCCGATCGGCCTCGAGCCGCTCCAAGTCATCGGTGACCGCTCTCATATCGAGGGCCATCTCACAGAACCACTGCACATCTCGCCCACACCTTGAGCCCAAACTGCTCTTCGCAACGCATGTCGGTCACCAAGCCCATGGCCCATGAGCACCCTGTCTTTGACATCTCTTCTTTCCTTACTCGGACCTGCACTCATCAAAACCTGTGCAAAACGCACGTCATCGAACATCACGCCCAAATGCTCTGTGGACAATTACATGAAGCTCGTACATGTCCACACCCCGGTGCGCCTCGGCATGGCAGCTTCGAAGGCTTCCAGGCACCTGCGCAGCTGTGCCAATGGAATCCTCCTGTTTTGGTGTCCGATGGTCCACAGTCCTGCTCGTCTCGCTTCAGATCCTTTGCGGTTCAGATCCTGCTCCTGTGCATGTCATGTCTGCGACGAAAAAAAACGTTTCATGCCCGTTTCATGTCTTCGATGCTTCATCGAAGACATTGCTGCCATGCTCAGCAACTCCACACATCAACCTGTGGTAGTATGTGAAAGCCCAGAGAACAAGCGTGGAACCCGTGTGCTTCCACAATTCCAACTCTTCTTTCAGGTCCTACATCGAGGAGCAAAAGAGTACATGACTTACTGGATCCAGGACTGTCTATGTGTTCATGCACATATGTAAACAATTATACATATGTGGCTTTACAGACATTCAGTTTCAAAAAAATGTGGCACAGGTCGGAGGAGCACACTCTTCTCACGGAAATCTCAGCCGGCAACTCGTGTATCATCCAACTGTTTGGACCCTAGAAGCGGAGAGGGGGCACCAAGTTCCCTCCAGGCACCGCCACGTGCCACCACCCCGTTGAGACCATGTGAGCGAGACAATTTGAGAAGCATGGTTTTGGCATGCAACTGTTGAATCTGTTTGGGAAGTGGAGGGCCATCACGGAGGTTCATCTGCCGCAAGGCCTGCTATTTCTTCAGCCAAGGTTGGCGCTGTGGACGAAAAAGGCCTGGCGACCCGGAACCGGAGATCGCGTCCAGTCCAGTCTGGCACTCTGCTCGCACGAAGGTCTCCAGGACCGGGAGTGCAAGATCATGGACATCATGGCCACATCGTCCCACGTGTAAGGAGACCAGACAGTGAAACCTTCTCCCCCAAACAATGAAACATATAGTTTTTTTCAAAGGCATGTCTCCCCAAACAGCCTCTGCCCCGGCCTCAGAGATGGCCCCATGGTCACTACCCATTGCTTCCACGTGTTTGTCTTGCACGAATTCGCGGCTTACCGCCAATGGGCTCAATTCGGCGCCAGCTGGGGCCGAAATCAAGTGGCGTTGAATCACCAACGGTGCAGCAAAGGATGAACCTCCTTTGTGTGCAAAAATCACGAGTGTCTACTTGATCTACTCACAGCATCCCCCCCATTCTCCAAGATGGTCAACACACGGTGGTTCCTTCTGGATAGATGGCATCCACCCTCCGCACTACCTCCGGACAAAACGCTGGAGTGGGTGGGTGCACCACAATTCTTGCAAATTGCATATGATGTGCAGTCATCCAGGTTGTACAGAGGAAACGACAAACAGGAAAAGTGGCTCCACAACTCAACCAAAACCAATGTCAGCTCTTGAAGCTCAGCAGCTGTTGACGCAGTGGCTTTGATTTACATCCAAAGTTATAATTCGTGTATGCCATTTTTTTGTGCATAGATATCTCCAGACAAGTGTCAGCAAAATTGCAATACTCAGGGTCTGTCGAATTTGGACACATGTGAGACGGGTTAAAGACGACAAAAAAAGGAGTTCAAGCATGTTTGACAGGATAGCACACGATTGCGCGCTTGGTCTCCGACATGGTGACGTCCACGTAGGGGAGGTGGCAGGTGGTGGAGTCCCGCCACAGGTGGCCATGAGCTTTCTGGTGACACACTCATCGCCGTTGGTGCAGCAGCAGGGCGGACCCCACTCCGCCTCTTCCTAGGTTGAGTGAGAGTCAAGCCGTGGAATTTCGGCAAACAGGACCAGCCCTGTCTTTCACGTGGTTCTATGCTCTGTGGAACCTCCTGACGCCCTTCAACGGATGAGAGCAAGGGCCACGAATACAACAAACTCGGAGCCATGGTGTATGTGACACCAGACATGGGTACAGCCATGTGGTATGCCAGGTTTCTAATTGGACAGCCGTTTCCCAATTAGAAAAATGTTGAACCCTAAAGGTCCCTTTGAGGACATCAGGAGACAAATGCGTGGGGCAAGGAGGCGTTGCCTTGAAGTTGTGGGTGGGTCTGAACAGAGACCAAGACTTGCGTCTGGAACGGGTGGGTCAGGTGGAGTGTCTGCAAGGACGACAGGAACAGTGGCATTGTCCACTGAAGACCCGCGCAGAGGCTGCTGTGCAGAGCGCGCTGGATGGGCATGATGGAATGGCTGGCCCGGACGTCATTCACAGTGATCTTGGGATTCCACCACACCCCACGCCACGGATGGCTTCCCAATTCTCACGCTTAAGTGAAAGCTGGATGTATCTTCTAGCACACGTGCCCGCGCTGTCTAGCGGCGCAATTCGTTCCACATCCACATGTCTAATGCGCATAAAGCACCGCGCCTGTCACGAAATGTCACCTCCGTCATACCTCGCAACCTCAGGATTCCCTGCGCCTGTCACGAAATATTACCTGCCTGACACCTCGCTCACGATTCCCTGCGCCCGCCGCGAATCTTTCCACATCCACACGTCTAATGCGCATGAAGCACTGCGCCTGTCACGACATGTCACCTCCGTCACACCTGTCAGGAAATGTCACCTCCTTCACCTCGCAAGCGTCACCTGCAAGATGCCAGCAGAGTCGACTTGACCACCCACCAAGTTTGCAAGGCAGCCCACGCGGCAACATCTTTGAGGCAGCGCATTTGATCCTTGGTTTTCCTCCTGTGCGCTCGGATCTGGACTGAGGCCAACACCTCAGGTCCCCCTGGTCTTGGAAAATCAGGAGGTTGGCATGGTGCATGTGACGCATATGGCTTGGCCAGTCGTCGATGGTCAAACTAGAAGGAGAGCTTCCCTGCCCTGGATCATAGGTGCGACATGCTGGATAGAGTTACAAAGGAAAACAATTCATCAAGATTCATCAAGTCTTTTTATTGTCATTAGTTGGAAAAAAAAACAAATGAACCGAGGCAGGTGAACTCGTTTAAATTCTTTCAACTTGCCAAAGTCGTGCTGGGCCATGATCGGACGTGCTTCGCGTCGCCATCAGGTCGCTGTTTCGGCCCGATGCTCTTCCATCACTGCCAGGCATTCCCTGCTCTGCTTCTCCTTGGCCAAGGCGATTAGCTCCTTCGTGCCGATATTCACCCCGCGCGACCGAAGCAACTGCAAGGCTTCGGACTGGTTGCTCATCGCAGCCCGGCCCGCGGGGCAGTCTGATGCGGCGCTGCCATACCTGTCGTTCGGATCAGCTTTGGCCTCGATCAGCGCTTTCATCGCTTGGAGATGTCCCTTCGACGCCGCCGCACCGAGATCGCTGCCTTCCACCGACGCGCCTGCGGCGGCCAAGTGTCGGATCACCTGCACCTGTCCGTTGTCCGCGGCTCGGCGGATCATCTTCTTCCCGTTCCTCTTGGACTCATGGTCCAGGGGCACCTCGGCTTCGATGAGCAGGCGTACGAACTCGATGTGGCCGGTGGCCGCCGCGTCTCCCCCGAGCTCGGCCAGGGAGGCCTTTTGCTCTGCGTTTAGCACCTCTTTGAGGTCTCCGCTGGCCATCGTCCAAATGGCGTACGCCATGTCCAAACGTTGGTGCTCGCACGCTAGGCAGAGATACTCCGCCATCTCTTGGGGCAGGATGGGTCGCACTGCATGGTACGCCCTGAATCTGCCCTTCTGCCCTCTGGAGACTAGCGACTGGACTTCTTCCTTCTTGGAATACATCGAGAGGTCATCACCAAATCGGCTGACGCTGTTTCCAAGCTCACGGACCAAAGTCGCCATGGCTGCCGAACCGCTGGCGATGGCCCAGTCCAGCATTAGCATCCGCATGCCGGTGGCCACATCGGTGGTGGTTTGAAACCACCCCAATCCCAAGTACTCCTCGTCTAAGGTCTCGCGTGCCGCCTTCATGGCCAGCACGTCACCGGAGGCGGCAAGGCCAAACACGTGCCTGGCTGGCGTTGTGAAGGCTCTCTTCGCCAGCTCGCAGGCGTTCACCTTCAGTCCACGGAGCCTCTCGGAGAAGTGAATGGCTCCCCAGATGCTCTGCATGGTTTTCTGAAGGGCGGGAGTCCGTAGATCCTGCTTGGGCCGCTTGGACATCTGTTCTAAGAGCTTGCGACTGGCTTCCAGGTGCTGCATCATCACCGAATGGTATAGGGGCGATAGGCCCTCTTGGTCCACGGCCATGACGTCGGCACCTGCATCGATGAGGTTCTCCAGAATGCCAATGGCACCATGCCTGCAAAGAAATCCAAATCCCAGACACCCCAACAAAAACCATGTGACATGTGATATGCCAACTTTTTTTACAATGTCCAACTAGCCCAACGTGCAAGCTCTTCCTGTTTTGACACAATCTGTCTTTGCCAAACGATTCGAGAACATCGTTTCAGCTGGTGCATGTGGGTGTTCAAGAGGTCCCGTCATGCCCTTTCAACAAGGGCATGTCAAGTCAAAAGCCCTCAAAGCTACAAGTCAGTTGCACTAGGTTTGGAATGCTGTGCGTGGCAGTTTCCTGACCGCAGGGAAGAAGATCGTATGTTCGAGGAGCTCGACAAGTTCAGCCTTGCAACTTCAAGATCTTGATGTGGGAAAGCATAGACCTACCAAGGCAGAACCAGCTTTAACAAGGATCCCCGCAACCTGGCTGGCCTTGAGAGGGAGAGGAAGCACCATAGGAATCGTCAGCCCAACAAGCATTGTGTTTTTAGGTGATGGGACAACCATGGATGCTGATAGAAGTCCTCTTTTCACCTGAGCTCTTCGGACTCATGGTCTTTGAGTGAAAGATGTCTTCGGACGATCCAAGAATCCTCGAAGTCCAGACCAGACCAAACGGCGTGTGAAAGAACGGCGTGTGATGTTGGAGACTGAGGTGAACCAATGGAGAGAGTGTAGAAGCTGAGGATGAGATCAGTCGATAGCATTCACTTTTCTGCATTGTCACAAAATTAAGAAAATATGCATATTTACACCTCATGGAGACAACTCAGCCTGTTTCTTAAAAGGACAACGGGCCTGGCAGCGTAATGCAATGGAGTAAAACCATGGCAATCGCGAGTGCTCACCAAATGGCCCTTGTCAATGTCAGTGGATAGCCTCAGGACCAAAGGCAGTGTATTTCGCAAACAGTCGAGGAACTTCCTTTTGGAGCAACGCAGGTTCTGTTACTCTGCCTGAAAGTTCCCTTCTACTTAGATCTTGCCACTTCCTCAAAACCAGAAAAGGCTAAGTAGAAGACAGATCACACATGTGCAGCAACAAGGGACAGAATTCGCACCATGTTTTCATCCTTGTTCATTGCAGCTTCCAGAAGCTTGCGAGTGCCCATGCGCTCCTTCTCGTATACTTTGTGTTGCTTGTTCTGCCTCAGCCACAGTCCCTGCCAAACATTTTGAGCAGTTTTAGAGCTTTAGAACATGTGCTCCAACAAAAGGAACTGGATGAAACGGCTGTTAACCAAACCCATTTCCAAGGTAAGCGGCTTTACGTCAATGGCCTTTTTGAAGTTGACCTGCGGCTGGGCTCAAAAAGAGGAGGTGGATGGTGAAACTTGCAATGGTGCTGACATACCGTGACATACCCACAAAGGTACTATTCGATGTACAATAGATTGAATAAACAAAGCCTTCTCTTGAAGAGGTGAGCCATCTGCAGCTCACAAAGGAAATCACCAATCTTCAGCAGGAACAAAAAGTCCCGATACCTGCAGGTGAAGAGCTTTTTGTAGGTGCAATGGAAGCGACAAGTCTAGATTGACGAAAAAGAGCCCCGCAAGCAATTGCCTTGGAAGGAGGTCATACTAAGGTCTGCGAGAGAGTGTTCGATTCCATGCTTTACCGCAATACGCTTCAGCTTGTTTGAGCTGGATATCAATTGAAGTTTCAAGGAAAGAAGGCTCGACAATGTCAACGTGAGAGCTGGGTTTCCACCGAGACTGGATGGCAGTATGGTTTGCAGGTTGATGACACTTTTCTCTTGAGATTTGTGCAGGGTTACAAGTACTTGGGAGCCATGGTGTCTGCTAATGCCTCCATTACGCCCGAAATACGACACAGGTGCCAGAAGGCTAGTCAGGCTTTTCATGAGCTTCGTCGTGGGATTGTTGACAAGAGATCGCTTCCTGTGAAAGCGCGGTGGAAGCTCCTTTCTGCAGTCACTCGTGCCCGGTTGCTGTATGGAGCGGAAAGCTGGCCTGAGCTGGAGGAGCGTGAGGTCAGGATGCTAATTGCTCAAGATCACAAATGCATGAGATGGGCCCTTGGAGCCATTTTTTGTGGAATTTGAGCTACGAGGATTGTTTAAATAGAGCTGGGACATGTCACATCCTAGCCATCGTAGCTAAACGTCGTTTACGTTTTTGGCAGAAGTGTGGTGGTGCCCTGGATGTTGTGCCCCATGCACGCTGCTGGGCCAATGCTGTGGTCAAGGATTTGCTGTGGTTTCATTTGAGTTCTGGCAAGACCCCTGTGGTTTCAGGAGGTCTTGAATGTGTGGTCCCCTAATTGCTGTCTTTTTGTTTGTTTGGATCGGTTGGTTAAACGACCACAGTTTGGCATTGCATGCGCCGAGTGCAATTTTGTGTGCGCAAGCCCGGCCGGCCTGGCTGCGCACATGCGGAAGAAGCATTGTAAGCGGAGCCCCATCTGGTTTTATGTTCATGGGTCGTTGTGTCCTGTTTGCGGGTGTGATTTTCATTTTCGTGGCCGCGTTGTTCAGCACTTGCGACATGGCTCCCGGCAATGTAGGGATGCGTATTTATCTGGATCCCTTTCTCCGCACGACGAAACTGAAGAGTGTCGTCTTCAGATTTTAGATAAACGATGGTGCCAGCTGGCACTCAAGCATGGGAGACATCCCTATGCTTTTGGCGGGCCGGTTCGGCCCTCAGTTCCGGCAGCTTGAGCTGCTCTTGAGGCACCGGATGGTCTTGTAGGCCAGGATTTGGGGAAAAAAAAATATCAATTGAAGGAGCTACAGACCTCCGCGAAGAAAAGAACTGCCATTTCAAGCCAACGGACTGGCTTGGCCCAACAGGATTCTGGTAACGATCGGAGAAGCGTGTGAACCGCGCGTTCGCATCACGAAGAAGTTCCTCGCTCTTCACCAGCTGTTCCAGGAGCTTGTAGACGGTCTCGATGGATGTTGTGTCAACGTTACCATCAATGACCAGAGTGCCCCGCACCACGTCCTCTCTGGCAACACGACACAAGACAAGCTTTCAAGTTATCCATATTTATCAGTACTAGTAACAAGAAGCTATTAGAAACAAGTGCCACGCTACTAGTAACAAGTGCCTTACTAGTAGTAACAAGAAGCTACTAGTAACAAGTGCCACGCTACTAGTAACAAGTGCCTTACTAGTAGTAACAAGCAGCTACTAGTAACAAGTGCCACGCTACTACCGGAACTTCTCTGACATTCAACGACTTCTGGTCAAATGAGTCCTTCAGTTGTCGACAGTCGCCGTGATATTCGGTGTTCACTTTGCTTTCTGCCGATGCCTTTGACTTGATTGGGGCATCCATGTAGGAGACTTTCCATCCTGGATCGCCGTCGCTTGACTCAAGGTCCAAGATACAACTCTCTTGCACTCTCTCTTGCCTATCTTGGCACAAACGATTTCCGATATGGAGTACCAAACCTTAAATGGAGTACCAAATTCAAGGTGTCCATCATGTTCCCACCCCCCACCTCCAAACTCCTCTTTCCCTTGCACCTTTTCGGCCAGCTTGTGACACAGTGAGTCAAAGGTCTTTTTGAAGCCCGTCGCCAGCTCCAGCATATGCTCCAGGCCCATTCCCTGATAGATGTAGGGCTGTTGGGCAGCTGCCTCGCCTTCTCTCACCATGTCTTGGACTAGCTGTCCAATCTTTTGTGACATCAGTCGGCACTTCTTGATTTCATCCTGAAGGAGTACAGCTGAATAGCTTGAAGCAACGTGCTGAAGTAAGAATAGGCCAAGCAATGGCAGGCAAAAGAAAATCGACTTTGGTCCAAAGATAAGGATTTGTCGTCCTCGGTACCTGAATTGTTTTCCATCTGCCTGCGCATGAAGCTTCCCCTGCCTGTCCACCCAGCAAGTCAATGAGTGGCGTGTCTTCATTCTCTGGCTCTTGCAGTTCCTTTGGCCTCAGCCCCCCCCGGTGTATCCGTAGGTCACAATGGCTCAAGCTGCTGTAGCTGATGAGATCCAAAGAATCTGTCTCTACACATCCTGATCATCCTGACAGCCAACTCCCCCCCACTTTCTTCGAGAGACCTTTCGATGGACTGGAGCAGTGATCTTGCCATCTCCAGCTCCTTGGCTGTATGTCAACTAGAGGGCGGGTGAACAAGGAGGTTCAAGCACGAGTCGACGTTTCACACCATATCCAATCCTAACAAAGGGAGATAATAGCCTTTCTTATCGTTCCCCATGCTGACAAGTAGAGGCAATAGATATCTGGATCTGCTTGGACATTCGCTGTCTGATCAACAAAGCTCGGCTGCCGGCAAGGTTCTTTCTCGGCGAGGCCTTCCTTCTTAGCTTCATGCAGCAGCCATTTGAGGGTGTCTTTATAGTTCTCGCCAGCGGCCTGTCTTGCGCCAAATATGCGCTGACAATGTGAGAATGGGGAGCGAAGACCCTCATGTTCTGAGTCAATCCTAGTTCGATGCCTCAGAACAGGCATAGTACCAATAAATTAAGAAAACTGGTCCCAAGGATCCCGTGCAAGCCCAGTGAGATTTCCTGCTTGGCAACGAAGTCAGTGGCGCTTGTTCGGTGGCAACTGTATCTTGCGCCCCAGCTTTCAGAGTGCCAACACCTGGCACTATCAACTTCTACCCCCCACCATATCTATGTGCTTTTCACTTTCGAAATAAATATATAAGCCATAAATCATAGAACCTTGCTGCATTTCAATTCAGGGCTTACATATCGCGACTTAATCAACTCTCCTGGACCAACTCTGATTTTTGGCCAAACCCGATGTCCTTCCTCTGAACCGTGGTAGATCGAAGCGAAGAACATCTGTTCAATCACACGGCCGCTCCCCTGCGCCCCCCTGACAGATCAGTGGGCGTGTCTTCTGCCTCTGGCTCAGTCGTTGGACTCCTTAGGAATGGCTGCACTGCGGTGAGTGGAAGCAAAACGCTGAAGACCCCGCAGCTGTGGAGCAAAAGCTCTGAGTCAAACAAGCTGATGGGATTGCTTCTTCCTTACTGACTGATGAAGACCCAACAAACGTCTTCATGCACATGTCTGCCCATCCACCCTTCTTGTTCCGCCACTTAAATACAACAATCTATGCCCCCTCTTAGTGCTGTCCAAGAGACCTTTGGCTTGTCTTCATCTCCTCAGTTGGTGAACCCACGCGCCGCTGTCACACGTCCCACCGTCCCACCACGGGCCGCTTTCATGCCTGATTTCCACACCGTTCCAAAGAGCTGGCATTGAGAGAGTCAGGGCATTGATACAAGTAAAGTCTAAGTGAGCAAGTCAGGGCATTCAGTTGGGTTCTAAACCCTGGGTTCTAAAGACACTGCCTCATCAAAAGTTTAGCAGTAAATAAATAAAGCTGCGATTTGGATTGAACAAGATTAGCTGCTAGAACCCAGTCCACAATGAGTTCATCCCTTTCACCCCAGCAGATTGTTGCACAATTCTGTATATTGATTTTGTCTTAGACATATCAACATGCACCCAGCCTGGTGGAATGCAGACAAGCTTCTTGCTCAGCGGCACCTGTCTTCTCTGCTTCCAGAAGCTGTTGTTCAATAGTCTCTTCATTCTGGTCTTTCACGGCCTGTCTAGAACAAGAACATCTTCAAGATTCCTGATCCTTCAAACAAGAAAACAAAGAAGTTTCAAAAGCCAAGTCCCTGAGGAATCAGAAAGATCGTGGCTGACTCCGGAGAAAGACAGTAGCACAGTGGCACATCCGGCAAAATCGTGACAGCCTGATTTAAAAAAAAAAAAACACACACAATCGCAACATATCGCAACCATCACAAAGGGCGAAGGATGTGTAGCAAATACACATCTGATCTGGACCGTCCATTCAAGTGTCTTGGCCTTGGCCGAGCGACTGTCCCATGAGCCAATCCAAGCACACCATTTTCTGCCTTGAAAGACTATCTTGTTCTACCATTTTGGGCTATGGATGGCTAAACTCGGCTGAACAAATCAAATCCTCACCTGGCGCAAACCGCCACACAGAGCTCCTTGCCCCAACGGCTCGGCCATCCCGCCAGAGATCCATCGCCACGGATCCCGCCTCGGCCATCGCCAACTGCTGGCCTTGGGCCGTCCTCGGAGCGCGGACGTTCCGCGGACGGCCACACATCTCCCCCACCCTGGCGGTTTGCTGAAAGTTTGATCTGGGGGAGAGGCGGAGAGAGAGAGAGGGGCCATTTCGAAGAAGTGAAACAAATATCAAAAATATCCAGAGATCCAAGAGACATTCCCATTGACTTCACGAGCGATCGTGCCAAGTCCAACTCCTTAGGCACCCGGACGACGTGATTCAGATCCAAAAGCACATGGCTTAGGATTGTGTGCCCATCTCTGTACTGGGACACAAGTCCTGAGTCTTTCTCCTTGACCAGTAGCGATGGATATCTGGATTCCAAGATAATCAAAGGAGCAATGACGATGCACATGTCTGACAGCACTGTACAGTGAGCACATGGAAGTGAACCAAACACAAATACCATCTTGCGAGAGTCCAAGAAGCTATCCACCAACTGTCACAAAAAAATGTTTTGCCCACACCAACCAAGCTCGGCTGCTGGCAAGGCTCTTTCGGCGCAAACCCTTGTCTGACTTTCTCTTGTGTTTGTTGCAGCAGCCGTTCCAGCATATGTTCATAGTTCTCTTGCACGTCCTGTCTTGTGCCATTTTTGTGGACAAAGCAAGAATGGGGGGGGTCCTCAAGTTCTCAAGGGAATGACTCTCTGATTGATGGTAAGCTCATCCAAGACTTGCCACAACTCCTCCAAACACTTTTGGCTCCTATTTAACCGAGGAGCTGTGTGGCAACATGCCGATGCCAACTTTCCAGATGGGTCGGATTGTGCAGATAGTCTCAGGTTGATACAGAATCTTATATAGAATGTATTCCTTCAATGTCCAACACCTTGGACTATTGGCCTTAGAGCCTTAGATGTATTGGCTTTCAGAACCTGCACCGTGCAAAAAGCCCAAGGAAGGCCCAATTTCTCAGCTCTGCCTTGACCATCCTTGACCCACTCTTCCAAGCCCTGCCTGGCCACCCTGCTCGGACGTGTCTTCCTCTAGCTCTCGCACTTGTATCGGAGACCTCGCAACGCACACCACGACGGAGAGACCTCGCGCGGTACTAGGGAGACCTCATCCTCCAACCAGTCGTCGTTTGAGGAAGAGCAAACTGATTGAGACTGATTGAGACCCGCAATTGGATAGAAAAAAAATGACCAAAAAAGATCAGGAAGTCCTGCCGGACCTTCCCCACTGGAGATTTGCCCCGGCAAAACAGTCTCATCAACTCCGTGTTTCATCCTCCTCAGCTCCTTTTTTTTGTGAAGAAAGCACAATCCTCCTCCCAAATCCAACCCTGAC